ACCTAGAGAAAACTTTAGCCTCATGTCAAATACACAAGCTAGGGTTAAGTTTCAGAACTCAGTTCATGTAATCCTATTCCTTTCATTTTTGTAAGTGTTGGTATTTGTGGTAGTACTTATCTTAAATAGTTTGGTTGCTTGTCATTTGTTTTCCAGTTCTCCTGAGCTCCAAGTTCCTTAGTTCTTTCTGTCTTCATGCCATCTTCACCCTTAGTCTAGCTAGTCATTGTTATTGTGACCAGAATGGTCGAAGCCCTGGTCCCCTTGATAATTCATTTTTCAGCCCTTCCTGATGAACTTCCACTATAGGAGAATACTAAATGTGAGTTCTTGATTATAGTCTTTTGCATTTGCTCATCCTTTCCACATTAAAGGAAAGGTAGCTTTAGAGCTTCTGGAGCCCTTTAGCAGCCTATCCTTGAAGAACTTTCAGGTTACTGCTCTTTTTTTCTTCTAAGCTTAGGGTAGAGGCAGCACTTTATCTGTATTAGATTATTACCAAGGTCACATTGGTTGCTTTGGGTTATCTTATTCATCTGGATGATTGCTTCTTCTGCAGCCATGTTTACTAATGCATTTGGTAGTGTTTAAAGTACAGGTCACCTTAAATGGTGAGGCTCCAAAGCCTTCTACAGATGGCTTGTCTACTCTTATAGCATTTCGGTGGTGTATATTACAGCAAAGGCTCCAAAGCTCTCCCTATCTAGAGATTGGAGTTGCACCCCGCCCCCGAGAATCTCAGACTTCAGTCTTTGCTACTTTGGCAGTAAGGTAAGATGTCTTTCTCCGGATGTAGGCCCTTTTTTAGGAGTTCTGTGATAGACTTTCATTCTGTACTAGAACTCCCAGTGAAGTGCAAAATGTGAGCCATAAAGCATTCTCTCTTCAAAGAATGAGATGATGTTTCCCTGAAGTACTTTATCAGCCCTTTTTAAAAATAATTTTTTAATGTTTATTTTTGAGAGAGAGAGAGAGAGAGTACAAGCAGGGGGAGGGGAAGAGAGAGGGGGAGACACTGAATCTGAAGCAGGCTCCAGGCACAGAGACTGATGTGGGGCTCGAACTCATGAACCGTGAGATCATGACCTGAGCCAAAGCCCGACACTTAACCCACTGAGCCACCCAGGAGCCCCTATATCAGCCTTTAAAGACTCTCCCTTCCCAACCACTTTCTGGGAGAATATTTCTAAAGCCTTAGGTAATTAATATATAATACCACTAATTAATATAGAATAGCTTTAGCACACAGATCATAGGATTTCTTTCCAGAAATATTGCTATTAACACTTCATGGGCCAATACAGATTTAGAAAGGTCATTTTTCATTTTCTGATATTAGCTGAATTTTTAATAAATTAAAAGGGAGTAGTCTTTACCATTAGATTTTTTTTGGTCTTTACCATAAGATTAACTGGGTATTATCCTGGAGGTATGGAGCAGTATCATACACAAAAAACCCGGCATTATCCTGATGATTCTTTGAGTTTGTATAACTTACATGCCAGGTATCTTCAGGTGCAGCTTTGTTTTTGTCAGATGCCAATATTGCCATGGATGTTTTTCTCCAGCCAACACCAATGAACAGTTTAAGTATTACAGAAGAGAAGAGTGTATTACTCTTGTTATGGTATTAGAAGGATCCCCAAAAAAGAGCTGCTTATGCCCCATTTTTTTTGAGAGTAGTAATAGTATAATATTACTTTTCCATTTCTAAAGGTAATATTTACATAAATAAAAACTGAGAAATAGTGAAATTCTGGTACAGGTTGTAACATTTTAGCTTATATTCACATATGGGTATTATATAATTCAAGAATTTGGCGTATGGTAAGCATATGTAGAAATTGTAGTATTCCAAGAAAAAAACTCAGAAAGCTTTTAAGTTTTTTTATTATTGATTGCAAATTAGGCAGATCTGCCCTATCCCCACTCTTAGAAATATATGGGCTATTTGGATGGGTTAGGCCTCTAAAGCTGTGTTGTCTAGTATGGTAGCTTCTAGCTCCATATGGTTGTCGAGCACGGGAAATGTGACTAATTTGAATTGAGATGTGCTGTAACTATAAAGTACACGTCGCATTTTGAAGATCTAGTACCGAAAAGGAAGGAAAAAAGGAATTCGGTAATTATTAAATTTTGATTACATGTTGAAATAATATTTTGGATCAGTTTGGTTAAGTAAAATATTAAAATTAATTTCACCTGTTTTACTTTTTTTGATGTGGCTACTATTTGGCCCTCACTATATTTCTAGTGAATATTACAGTTGGTAAAGGCTGTATTCTTCCTTCTAACATCACTGTGACAACAGAGTCTATTAACTTTTAGTAGTTGGTTAACTCTTAAAAGTATAAAGGATTTAGCTTGAAAACTTAACAAAAATTAGAACAATTTAGATGGCTTTGACTATATTCAGTAAGTAGCAGGGAGCTTTAGAAAGGTAGGGAGGCTTCTCATTAAAATCCTTGGAGCTTAGAGGTTACCTACCTGGGGGCATTATGCTTCAGCTATCTCCCAAGAATTTTTCCTTCAAAATTCCCTAAATACAGACTTTACTACTATACTTAGACAAAAAATAAAAGTTGAAAAGCTGTTTTGTACTAGGGAGATTTCTTTTTTGGCTCTGAACTAGGTCTGCCTTTATATATACCAGTGTTTCACAGTTTTTTGTGTGTGAAATTTCCTTCAGTTTTTATTGAACTCACATATATCCTGGTGATGAAAATTTGTTGTTGGGTTGAATTCATTGATCCTCGCTCCTCCCTTTCATGGGATAAGATCTCTTCTGGAAGACTCTTAATCTTTTTTTTTTTTTTTTTTTTTTTTTTTTTTTTTTTTTTTTTTTTTTTTTAGAGAGAGACAGAGCATGAACGGGGGAGGGGCAGAGAGAGAGGGAGACACAGAATCGGAAACAGGCTCCAGGCTCCGAGCCATCAGCCCAGAGCCCGACGCGGGGCTCGAACTCACGGACCGCGAGATCATGACCTGGCTGAAGTCGGACGCTTAACCGACTGCGCCACCCAGGCGCCCCAGGAAGACTCTTAATCTTTACCTCGAAGTTCATGAGTATGCTTAGCAGAGGGCAGAGCTATAAACCTCAAACAGCGATACTCTACCATGGAAATTCTAGCAGTTTTATATGTCATTGAAGAGTTTTAGCAAACCAAAATTTTAAAAGAATATATAATTTATTGTGTGGCTATTTCATATGATGGGCAAATTTGTTAGACTGAGAGACGGTGTTCTAGAGTGGTAAACAACATGGACTTTGGAGACAGACTGAGCATAATATTTACCTTACTAACAGTTACTTCCCTTTTGTCATCTGTACAGTATGGATTTAGCCCTGCCATTAGGGGTGATAAAAGGGGAGGCAGGTGTACAGTCCATTTACCAGAAAGAGACCAGTCTTAATTGAAGCTTACTCTACACAGTCCAGTGATTGTGCAGAACCATTTTTACTCTTCCATTGTGTTGTTTTTCAATATATATGGAACCTATCTGGGATGAATAACTGGAACCCTTAAGTCCTCTGCACTCCTTTTCTACATCTCTGTATTACCATTCTCACTCCTACACCTGTCCCCACCCCTCCTCCAAGTCCTGGCTTCATTCTGCCTCTCTGCTGATTGTCTTTGTATTCAAATCTTGGTGTATGTACCCATTTCTGGGAGGAACACCAACAGGATAAAAAGCTAACTCTTGGTGTTGATCTTCTTTCATAGCATAACTTCATTGTGTTATTATACTAAAATAACACCATCCGTGAGGATGGGAAGTAATAGTATAGGTAAGTGAATACAGCAGGGAGAGCCTTAGGCAGCCTCAGGGATGATTATAATACCTCCTTATTTCAGGGATTCTTGTGAGAATTAAGTGATAACTGTTGTGATTATTTTTAATTTTTCACTGTTATGCTTTATGAACATTTATATAAAATATCCCTTTATCAGTTTATTTCTTGAGCTCTTTATATATAGCCCTTTATCAATATCTGATTATATTTTGAGGAGAACCTTTATTACAAAGTTTCATAGGCCATTATTAAAATATTTACACTTGTAGGTGCTTACAGAAACAAGGCTTGTGCTTCTGGAAAGATTATGAAGTAAAAGTACTTGCATTTTATTTTTACTGAGAATACAAGTACCTTGTTTGGGTTTGCTGTTACTACCCATGAAGAGTTACTGAACACCTAGACCTGTGCTGTCCAGTGTGACAGTACTTGTCACATGCAGCTATAAAAAGTGAAAATAATTAAAGTTAAAAAAGATAAACTTAGTTCCTCAGTTCTGTCTACATTTCAAGAGCTCATTAGCTTCATATGGCTATTGAGTACTATATGGGACAGCACATGTATAGGACATATTCATCATAGCATAAGATTTTATTGTACAGCCCTGACCTAGAGAGTATGAAAGATTAAATAACCAAATGTTTTATTTAAGTAGGAAGCATTATCAAAAAGTCTGAGGTATTTGTTACTAAAATTACTTATTTATTATGGTTTTATGACATCTATAAACACTGCAATGAATGTTGCAATTTTAGCTGCAAATTTATTATCGCTTTCATATTTCTAAAATATGTTTTTTATTTTTATAAATTAAATGTCAAATTTTACTGCCTCTTTGTTTTTATTCCTCATATCCTAATATTGTATTAAAAAGTTCCATTTGTTTTTGCAGCATTTAAGGATTTGGTTCTATTCCTTGGCCATGGCCCTACGACCTAAAATAATACCATTGATATTAAATAATATTGATCATTTTTAGTATGAAAGGTGTGGTAGTGATTAAGTTGTACACTAGAAATAAGAGGTTTTAAAACAGTATAAATACATATCTCATCTTTTGTAATTACAGGCCTTTGGAAATTTAACAATTTGAAGTTTTACATTGCTCCTCTTATATATGGTTTGTTTAGAGAATTGTTATGATTTATAATTCTTTCATTAAAATATCATGTTATGTGTTTTTGTTTGTTTATCTTAATCGTAGGAAGCTCTACAAAGGATCATTTCAACTCTGGCAAATAAAAATGATGAAATTCAGAACTTTATTGATACACTAAATCAAACACTAAAAGGAGTTCAGGTATGACTCTTTAAAAAATGTTTTGTTATATGTCACAATGAATGATTGTTGGGCCAAATCAATATAAATAAATATACTCCATGAACTCTAGATTATAAACTAAAGGAGGTGAGAGCAGGGTTTTTAAATGGCATATAAATAAAAAAATGCTTTCCTTACTATTCCTACATTCTCCATGGAAAGGTCAAATAGTAAGGAAAAAAGAAAACTCTGGAATTGTAGCTGCTAAGGAATAGTATAGTGCTTACTTTTGACCCTTTCCATTATAGATTTGTCTTTTCTAATTCCAGTTAAGAGCAAATTCTATTTCTTCAGAGTACTGGGATGCTAAACATTTCTTTTATGATAAATAGTAGAAGGAAAATGTAGGTGGTAAGAGGTCTGCTTATAGAACTGGAAGAAAGTAAAACATAAAACTAAAAAGTAAAGTGCCTAATGAAAAAAATGAATACTTAAGGAAACAGTCCCAGGTTTGGGCAGATAATCCATACTGTACATACTCAAATATTGATTACTGAGTGGTTAATGTGGGATTAGATTTAGGTCTTTTGCCTACCAGACTACACATTTCTTTTTCCACAACTTGTTCTTGTCACTGTAAATCAATTAGTAAAGTGATTAACACCACTTTTGATAAGACTCTAGTGAGATGATAACTTATTTTTATAAAAATTATAAGCAAAAGTTTGGTTTATGATATTGCAGTGGATTGTTACATATTAGGTCTCTTAACTGGTGCCAATTCTCTTAATGGAATGATTCATCTAAGTTGAAAAATGCCTAAGATAATTTCTTCTGTCTCATAATTACTGCAAGTGTGGATATTGCTTATCTAGAGATTTCACAGATATTTTAAGTTATTGTTGAAATAGCGTCTTGCTTAATGAGAAGATGAGGAACTCTGGGAAGTTAATAGGCTTGAAATGCTTTATTGATTCTGCCACTGGTAACTACTTGTGTGGCTTTGGGCAAATCACTTTTCTGTATTTTAATTCCTAAAATTTAGGAGTTTGACTACAAATTCTAGTCAGAAGATGACTTCTGAGGTTGCTTCAAGCCCTAAAATTTAATGTTTGATAAATCTCTTAGGATCCAATAAGGAATTGCTTGGTCTTTTAAGTTCTGTATATCTTAATGTAAATGCACTGTTTTAGACAACCTGAAAGATTTTCAGATTTACACAAAATTAGTCCCATCCCTGTATGCTCAAACTTCTCCTCAGTTACGGAATCAAAATCTCTGGAATATTTCATTAAAATGCTTCATTGATGATTCTGATGCACGACAAAGATGCACGTAAACCACTGGCTTACGGTCTGCCTTGGAACCTGACAAAGGTGGCAATCTTAAAACAAACTTTCACATTGTCCTTTGGAAACATTGCTTTAAAAGATGAAGAGGGTATAGGCTAGTTCATAAAAAGTTGCTTAACTCATAGCGTAACTGAGATAGTGCTCTCCGCATTAGCAACCATCTTCTAGGATTTACCTGTTTTTAAAGCCTATGTCAAGTATTAGATTTTGTTGTTTATATGATGTTAGGCTGAGATGGTTTATAATGTGAATCTCTTCTCTGATAAGTATTTTCAAATGTTTGACAGCTCTTCAGTAAAATCATTGTTTTGTTTATCAAACAGGAAAATTCTTCTAACATACTTTCAGAGTTAGATGAAGAATTTGATAGTTTATATTCTATTTTGGATGAGGTGAAAGAAAGTATGATTAACAGTATCAAGCAGGAACAAGCTCGTAAATCACAAGAGTTACAGGTGAGATCATACAGCTTATTTAAATATGAATAATTTAAGTCTATTTAGTACTTGATTTCTTGACAGCAAAAATCAGTGAATTTCTGTGAATAACTACTTTTATGTTAGAGCCCACTTCTCTGAATCCTCTGTCTCTCTCTCTCTGCCCCTCCCCTGCTCACTGTCTTTCTCTCAAAAACAAAAAATGAACATTAAAAAAAAAGTCACTTAATTTTGAGAGAGAGAGAGCAAGTGGGGGAGAGGAAGAGAGAGAGGGAGACAGAATCTGAAGCAGTCTCTGTGAGGTCAGCGCAGAGCCCCGATGTGGGGCTTGAACTCACAAACTGAGATCATGACCTGAGTGAAATTAAGAATTGGATGCTTAATCAACTGAGCCACCCAGGCAGGCGTCCCTCTTGTTTTTTCTTAATTGTGGTTAAAAACCTAAGATTTACCTTCTTAACTGCTTTTATTTATTTTTGAAAGAGAGAGAGAAAAAGAAGGAGGGTGAGTGGGGGAGGGGCAGAGAGAGAATCCCAGGTAGGCTTTGCTGTCAGAATGGAGCCCAATGCAGGACAAGATCCCATGAACTGTGAGATCATGACCATGACCTGAAATCAAGAATCAGATGTTTAACTGACTGAACCACCCAGGCGCCCCTCTATTTTATTGTTATTATTATTACTATCATTATTATTTAAATTGAGATGTGCGACCTATAACATTTTATTAGTTTTATGTGTACAATATAATAATTTGCTATTTATACATACTGCAAAATGACCACCACAGTAAGTCTAGCTGACAGCCATCACCACACATAGTTACAGACTTTTTTTTTTCTTGTAATAAGAACTTTTAAGATCTACTCTCTTAGCAGTGTTTAGATATACAGTACAGTAGGGGTACCTGGCTGGCTCAGTTGGTAGAACCTGCAGCTCTTGATCTTGGGGTCGTGAATTTGAGGCCTATGTTGCAAAATGTACAATATGATATTAATTGTATTCACCGTGCTGTACATTACATTCCCAGGACTTATTTTATAACTGGAAATTAGTACCTTTTGACCACCATCACCTATTCATCCATATTTTAAATATTGTTTGGTAGTAGCCATCTTTATTCTTTTTTTAATGTTTATTTTATTTTTTTTTGAGAGAAAGTGCAAGCAGGGGAGGGGTAGAGAAAGAGGGAAAACACAGACTCTGAAGCAAGGTCCAGGCTGTGAGCTGTCAGAACAGAGCCTTTTGCAGGGCTTAAACTCATGAACCGCGAGATCATGACCTAAGCCGATGTTGGGTAATTAGCTGTCTGAGTCACCCAGGCACTCCATAGTAACCATCTTAATGTATGTGAGATGATATCTCATCGTAGCTTTGATTTGCATCTCTAATGATTAATGATGTTGAGCATCTTTTCATATACTTGTTGCCCATTTGTATGTCTTCTTTGGAGAAATGTTTATTCAGGCCTCCTGCTCATTTTTTAATTGGGTTGTTTTTTGTTATTGAATTGTAGGAGTTCTTTGTATATTCTGGATATTAACCCTTTGTCAGATGTAGGATTTGTAATTATTTTCTACCATCCCGTAGGTTGTCTTTTCACTGTGTTATTTCCTTTAATATGGAGAAATTTTTAAATTTGGTATAGTCCCATTTGTCTCTTTTTGCTTTTGGTGTCATAGTCAAGAATTCATTGCAGACCCAGTGTCATGAAGCTTTTCCTCTGTGTTTTCTCTTACAGTTTTATAATTTTGGGGCTTGTATTGATTAAGGTCTTTAATCCATTTCGAGTTAATTTTTGTATGTAGTGTTAGGTAAGGGTCTCAGTTCATTCTTTTGCATGTGAGTATCCAGTTTTTCCAGCACCATTTGTCTAAAAAGATTCTGTGGTTTTCTCATTGTGTGGTTTGACACTCTTATCAAAGATCATTTAACTGCGTATGTGTGGGATCCTTTCTGGGCTCTGTATGGGCTCTGGTCTATATGTCTGTCTCTATGCCAGTATCACACTGTCCTGATTACTGTAGTTTTGTAATAAATTTTAAAATCAGAAAGTGTGAGTGAGGTCTCCAGCTTGGTTCTTCTTTTTCAGGATTGTTTGGCACTTTGGAGTCCCTTGGGATTCCTTGTGAATTTTAACATGTTTTTTTTTTTTCTATTTCTGCAAAAAAGATGCCATGAAATTTTGATAGGGATTGAATTAAATTTGTAGATTGACTTGGGTGGTATAGACACTTTAATAATATTAAGTCTTCCAATTGAGATCATGGGATATCTTTCCATTTATTTGTATCAGCTTTAATTTCTTTCAGCAGTAGTTTTATAGCATTAAATGTATAGGTCTTTTGCCTCCTTAGTTAAGTTTACTTCAGAGTACAGTATTTCATTTTTGGGGTGCCTGGGTGGCTCGGTCAGTTAAGCATTTGACTCCCATTTCAACTCAGGTCATAGTCTCATGGTTCCTGAGATTCTCCCTTCCTCTCTCTGCCCTTCCCCTGCTCACGCTGTCTCTCAAAATAAATAAATCAACTTAAAAAAGAAAAGAAACTGATTTGAAGTGCTTTGAGGGAGGAAAAGCTTAATTAATAAAGGTAAGAGGGGGTATTTCAGTTAAGAGGTTGGTCAGTTGTTAAGATCATCAAAGTTCAAAAGTTTGGAAGAGTCTTCGAATCATCTTGAAGCCAAGTCAGTGCCGATTTGGAGGATAGATCTGTATCATTTATGTCATGGCATGTGGGTTTTGATTTTTAGAAGTGTTATTCTTTGGGGTGCCTGGGTGGCTCAGTCGGTTAAGTGTCCAAGTCTTGATTTTGGTTCTGGTCATGATCTCATGGTTTCGTGAGTTTGAGCTCCACATCAGACTCTGTGCTGACAGTGCGGAGCCTGCTTGGGATTCTCTCTCCCTCTCTCCTTCTCTCCCTCTCTGCCCCTCCCCCACTTGCTCTTTTTTCTCTCTCTCTAAACATAAATAAATAAACTTTAAAAAAAAAGAAGTTCTTTATTAACTCAAGATGTTTGAGATTTTCAGAATGGGGTAATTTCTATCCATTGTGGAGTTTGATTTAAAGTATGTCTTTAAGCAGCAACATGCAGAAGGTTGAAACTAGACCACTTTCTCACACCATTCACAAAAATAAACTCAAAATGGATAAAGGACCTGAATGTGAGAAAGGAAACCATCAAAACCTTAGAGGAGAAAGCAGGAAAAGACCTCTCTGACCTCAGCCGTAGCAATCTCTTACTCGACACATCCCCAAAGGCAAGGGAATTAAAAGCAAAAGTGAATTACTGGGACCTTATGAAGATAAAAAGCTTCTGCACAGCAAAGGAAACAACCAACAAAACGAAAAGGCAACCAACGGAATGGGAAAAGATATTTGCACATGACATATCGGACAGAGGGCTAGTATCCAAAATCTATAAAGAGCTCACCAAACTCCACACCCGAAAAGCAAATAACCCAGTGAAGAAATGGGCAGAAAACATGAATAGACACTTCTCTAAAGAAGACATCCGGATGGCCAACAGGCACATGAAAAGATGTTCAGCGTCGCTCCTTATCAGGGAAATACAAATCAAAACCACACTCAGGTATCACCTCACGCCAGTCAGAGTGGCCAAAATGAACAAATCAGGAGACTATAGATGCTGGAGAGGATGTGGAGAAACGGGAACCCTCTTGCACTGTTGGTGGGAATGCAAATTGGTGCAGCCGCTCTGGAAAGCAGTGTGGAGGTTCCTCAGAAAATTAAAAATAGACCTACCCTATGACCCAGCAATAGCACTGCTAGGAATTTATCCAAGGGACACAGGAGTACTGATGCATAGGGGCACCTGTACCCCAATGTTCATAGCAGCACTCTCAACAATAGCCAAATTATGGAAAGAGCCTACATGTCCATCAACTGATGAATGGATAAAGAAATTGTGGTTTATATACAGAATGGAATACTACGTGGCAATGAGAAAGAATGAAATATGGCCTTTTGTAGCAACGTGGATGGAACTGGAGAGTGTGATGCTAAGTGAAATAAGCCATACAGAGAAAGACAGATACCATATGGTTTCACTCTTATGTGGATCCTGAGAAACTTAACAGGAACCCATGGGGGAGGGGAAGAAAAAAAAAAAAAGAGGTTAGAGTGGGAGAGAGCCAAAGCATAAGAGACTGTTGAGAACTGAGAACAAACTAAGGGCTGATGGGGGGTGGGAGGGAGGAGAGGGTGGGTGATGGGTATTGAGGAGGGCACCTTTTGGGATGAGCACTGGGTGTTGTATGGAAACGAATTTGACAATAAATTTCATATATAATAAATAAATAAATAAATAAATAAATAAATAAATAAATAAATAAATAAATAAAGTATGTCTTTAAGACTTCCAAAAGAAGTGTGATATTTTAATTTCAGAACTTATTTTCTGACAGCCATATACAGAGCTGGATATATGTGTGTACACGTAAAATCTACAGTGCTGTTCTTAGAACGAGCTGCATCTATTGCTCTTATAAACTATTAAGTTTCTGTTTCTAGTTGTTGACTAAATTGCCATTAATAGAAAATTGGGTTACATAAATTTATTTAAACTCTTTCTTATAGTCTCAGATGAACTTTGTTTACTTTTGATTTTGTGAATCTTAATTACATGATAATTTTTTTTTTTTTTTTGCAACTGAGCTGATGATTCATGGAAGTCTTCCATTAAATTTACATTTGGGCTCTTTTTAAAAGGGATGATTTTACTCTGATTTTTTTGTCAAGTATTCTATCAGATTCATCACTGGCTGTTGAATAACGATGGAGAATTCAGAACATTGCAGAAAATAGAAGCAGAATTCCAAGTACTGTTTCAAAGTGGTCACTACAAGGATGTTAGACGATTTTTCTCTTCCTGTATCATCACTTGAGATCTTCATTTTTTCCAGAGATTCCATTGTTTTCTTTTTTCTTTTTTTTTAATCTTACACTTGATTATCCTTTGTAACTCTTAATACTTGCTGTTCCTCAATGCCACAAAAATTTTGGCAATTTTTTTTTCATAGGAATAGTGATCTAGGGGAGATCAAGAGATATTGAGGGGACAATACGCTATAAATAAGACTGTGAGTTGTTTAAATATAAGCTTAGTGGACAGAAGTTCATTCTTGAGGATGTTTTTGTATTATGATTCAAAGGAAAAGTTATGGTGATATCAGCCTAATGGTAATTCAAATATTAAAGGTTTATTGGGATAGTTTAAAAAACAAACATTAAAAAGAATCACAACTTGGCTACTGATGCCATTTTCTTCTTTAGTTGGAGACAGTAGAATATCTCTGTTTTTCCTTTGGGTTCACAAACTCAATAGTATGTTGTTTTCATTAAGATTTTATTAATTCCTCTAAATAACTGACAAGTTATTATTGCTCTTTAAATTGAATTCCTTTGTACTCTTTTTAACTTTCCCTCTTGACTTGAAAGCAAATTTATAGCATTTTCTTAGAATAAGATATTTTATCTTAAACTTTGACCTCAGATTTGATTCTTTTAATGGTTCCTTGAGATATATTCCTTATTCTTTTTGTTATTTCTTACTTTAAAAAATTTTTTTTCAATGTTTATTTATTTTTGGGACAGAGAGAGACAGAGCATGAACGGGGGAGGGGCAGAGAGAGAGGGAGACACAGAATCGGAAACAGGCTCCAGGCTCTGAGCCATCAGCCCAGAGCCTGACGCGGGGCTCGAACTCACGGACCGCGAGATCGTGACCTGGCTGAAGTCGGACGCTTAACCGACTGCGCCACCCAGGCGCCCCTGTTATTTCTTACTTTAAAGCTATGTTAACTTAGTTTGCCCTAGTGATCCTGTGTAGACCATTTATAGCTACCATTTTGTTCTGTGATTTTGCTTAAACCTTTCATAAAGCTCTCCAACAATTGAGATATTTCAAATGGTGGTTTGTTAATTATTCTTTGGAACTCATAAGAGTTTTACTCCTAGAAGGAGTAGTATTTTTAGTAGATTGTGGTTGGGTTCTTAGAATAATACATGAAAACCTATTTTAACCCAAAATATGGTAAAACTATTCTACTTTTCCAAAGTTAAAATATAACACATCCAGAAACTAAGAAAATTAGCCATAGTTTATCTTTAGTGCTGATCTTAAGGGAAACCTAAGTAGATTTGAATATGGAATAGATAGTAATAGATATTAATATTCTGAAGAAAAATCTTGAGTACGTTAAAAACTTAGAAATATATCTGTTTCTTTGTTTAAAGGTATCACTAACAATAGTTTTTCATGACTGGGCTTAGTTTTAGACCACAAATGATAGAATGGAAGAGAACTAAGAAAGACTGGTACTTGAAATTAATACATCACCATAACAGAGCACATCACTGTAACAGTTACCATCTTTTTTTTTTTTTTTCAGCGTTTATTTATTTTTGGGATAGAGAGAGACAGAGCATGAACGGGGGAGGGGCAGAGAGAGAGGGAGACACAGAATCGGAAACAGGCTCCAGGCTCTGAGCCATCAGCCCAGAGCCTGACGCGGGGCTTGAACTCACGGAGCGTGAGATCGTGACCTGGCTGAAGTCGGACGCTTAACCGACTGCGCCACCCAGGCCCCCAACAGTTACCATCTTTTGTTCCTCTTTATTCTTTTTGAAATCTTGGCAATTCCATTTGTGATTCCTGTGTTACCCAATTTTGGAAACTATAAATTATCATTTATGGTAGTATGTATTATTTGAGTAATGTGATAAATGGAATATTAAAATTATGCTCAACTGAATGTACCTTTAACTTGATTAATAAACTTTAGTTTAAATTGTTAAATATTATCAAGAAATTTAGTCTTCATTTATAGATGATGTTGTCTGCAGATGAATTATTTTGATATTTTAATTTAAATTGTTGATAGTTAACTAAGTTGTTGATAGTTTTCTGATTACCTTGATTGAGAAGAATCTTTAAGTGAATTTGACCCCAACTTTTTATAACTGCTTTATTTTCTTTTGTGTTTTTAAATGATGGTATATCTATATCTATGCAATTAAGCTATTTTGAATAAATTATGGAAAGATGTTAAGTACAATGTATTAAAATAATTAAAATTTATTACATATATGACTAGTGATTATGTTGCTTTAACACCTCTCTAAAATATTTTTGTTCAATTTTTGCTATTCAAATTGTAAGTTCCTTATAACAATATACAGTTAAGATCCTCATGGAAATAGGAAATTTGTTTTAAAGATTTATTTTTATTTTTTAGAGTCAGCTCAGTCAATGTAATAATGCCTTGGAGAACTCAGAAGAACTACTAGAATTTGCAACACGGTCATTAGATCTAAAGGAACCTGAAGAATTTTCAAAGGTACCAAAAAACCAGCCAAAAAACTAAACCACTAAATAGGAAAGTTTTGTTTAAAAAAAAAATGGTGCTTTCCCTTTCAATTTTGGATTTATTCAGCTATTTCTAATTCTAAAAAAGTCTTTGTGGAGGGTGCCTGGGTAGCTCAATCAGTTGAACATCCAGCTCTTGATTTCAGCTCAGGTCATGATCCCAGCATCATGGGACTGATCCCCACGTTGGGCTCTGTGCTGATCGTGGAGCCTGCTTGGGATTCTCTCTCTTCCTCTGCCCCTCTCTTCCACTCACATGTTCTCTCTTGCTCAAAAATTAAAAATAAATAAAGAAGTAAATAAATAGGCTTGGAATTTCTTAAGTAAATTGCTGTATATTTATGTTTTCCAAAGCAGACACCCAGATGTGTCTTTGGAGTCAAGAACAAATTATTTAATTTCTCTTTAATGCTCTATTCAGATGAATCAAGTTATTTTCTTTTTCTTTTTTTAAAAAATTTTTTTAATGTTTTTATTTATCTTTGAAGGAGAGAGACAGAGCATGAGCGGGGGAGGAGCAGAGAGAGAGGGAGACACAGAATTTGAAGCAGGCTCCAGGATCTAAGCTGTCAGCACAGAGCCCAATACGGGGCTCGAACTCATGAACTGTGAGATCATTACCTGAGCTGAAGTCGGATGCTTAACCGACTGAGCCACCCAGGCGCCCCTATTTTCTTTTTCAATTACAACCCTACTGGTTATTTATTTTAAGGGTACTTGTGTTTTTTACCTTTGTTATAAGTATTTTTTGACTTAGGAAAGAAGATTAATATTGCTATTAACATTGTTCAAAATCTAGTTTTGTATTCCTTCTATGAGCTGATTGGGAAAACATCACTTGATGCAGATGAGCACTGTAACCTAGTGAAATTTGTTATTAAATCTGTTATTAAATATCCCACTGTTTAGTGTAACTGCTTGAATGTTTTGTTAAAATATGATGATGTAGGTTCTTTTTTTTAAGTTTATTTATTTAGAGAGAGAGCATGCACACAAGAGCAAGGGAGGGGCAGAGAGAGATGGAGAGAGAGAATCCCAAGCAGGCTCTGCACTGTCAGTGTGGAGCTTGATGTGGGGCTAGAACTCACGAACCTGTGAAATCATGGCCTGAGCTGAAATCAAGAGTAGGACGCTTAACTGACTGAGCCAGCCAGGTGCCCCCAAAATGTAGGATCTTACTTGAAGGGTATGTTTGGTATGAAATATAAGCAGTAGAATAATAAGACTGTTAATGTTTTAACCTAGATCCTGGTATTTAGGAGATTCTGATTTCTAGATTCTAATTTTTATTTTAAGTTGGGTCATTTTTAAATGATTACCAAGTTATCAAATCAAATACACTCTATTTGATGTAGAATAAGGATGTAGAATATATTAAAAAAAGGTGTGAGAAAAGTGGGAACTTGAGCTATATAATTAGTAAAATATATACTATGTAGGAATTTTATCAAGATAAGATATTTGAATTTGATATTTTCTTGGTCTTTGTGGAGTATGTAGTGAAAACTGCATTAGCACGGTTTTATAATCCATTTTTATTCATCTAATATTTTAATTTCATGATTTTTCTCTGAACTTGAAGGTAGAAAAAACTTCTTTGAGAAGGTAACATTTTAGTGGTTTACATCCCTTGCATTTTGAAAATGAATTTTAAAAATGGATTACTTCTAATGAAATGAATAAAAACATTCTTTTGCTGTAAATCTGTGACTTACTTAATTCTTGAATTTGGAGGTAGATTGTAAGTAGGTTCATCTTTGCATTTGGTAGGACTTGCTATATAAAGGAATTATGAGGGAAATGTATCATACTTTAAAGTACTTTAAAAATATATATACATCACCTTTGCAGAGGATGTTTATGGGATAACCTCAAATATCTGGAACATAGCCAAAAAATTTACAGAAAGCGAAAAGTATCTGAGTCATCAAAATTAGTGTCATAGAGTTCATGGGCAGGAATTAATATTCTTTTTTCATGATAGTTTCTTAGAATCTGGTGACTATTATATACATGGCGCTAGTAAATTTTTAGTTTTTTCTTCAGTTTCCTAGTTGTTAACAGAGTCCCCTTCTAGTGGAGTGAGGTAGTTATAAATGACAAGCATAATCATAGCAGCAAGAACTAACAGCCTGAGAGTGAGGAAGAAGATAGGAAAACAGTAAAATATAGACAAAAGTACTCAAAAACAACTTGAACCCAGTTGCATTTAAGTAGGGACGGACGCTTGGGAAAACTGTGATCAAGTTTGTTTCTTCCAAGTTTCTCTTTCCACTATTTTCTGAGTCCTTTCCCCTTGCTCTCAAAGGCTGCTGTTTTCTCCTTTTTTTCCTTTGTCATAACTTTGTTAAAACTTATTCCCAGATGATTGTAAATTGGGAAGGTTCTGATAAATCCAATTGTGGTTTAAACATTTTTTTTAATGTTCCATGTTGCTTCTTATTTTATTATTTTGGTTTTTCAGCATTGTGCAGTATTGCTTAATTGCTTAACCCAATTGGAAATGTGATGAAATAAATTATTTGTCATTGTTTTGTACCTAAAAATCTGAGTTTATTGTTCAAGAAAAATGCTTAACTGAGAGTTGTTTGTGATTATTTTCTTAGTACATCCAAATAGTATCCAAATAATAGTTTGATTCCAAGTCACAGACCAAGTTCACTTTTCTAGTCAGCTGCGTGGACTATAGATAAGCTTGCCTCAAACACCTAATTACTGACAGAATAGGGAAGATGACTTAAAAGATTAAGTATTGGGCTAGCAGTACATTGTTAGATATTTGGGAAAATAAATTCTTTTAAGGTATACTGTTTATGAATATCCCATATTAAAGTGATCAAATCAGATTAATTTGACTAGCTCGTGGGCACAAAAAAATCATAGGCTGAAATCCAGCCCCTGAGTCTTTTTAGACTTTATTATTTTTCAAAAAGAGTACTTTAAGTACTAACATTTAAATGATCATGTTGCAGTACCTCAGCAGTACCTGAATATGAAGCTATGCTATTTACCAGCATTAGGCAATCTGAAAATGAATGAGTAAAAATGGCACAAATGGAAAAGGATATTGGAACATACTTTCATTAATTTTTTAAAATTTGGCATTACAAATTTGTTTTATTTTCATTAACTTTTTTTAACTGTTAGAGGTTTGCTTGATATGAATATATGAAGAAGGCTCACAAGCAAATGAAATTTGGATCATTTCCTTTATTTCTGGATGGACAAGTAGCCAAAACCCCACCAAACCCGGCTTCTCTGCTAATAGCTGGTCTGCAGAGCATTGCTTGGATCCTTTGGCAAAATTAATATTTCTGTTCCCCCATCCCTAAATTTGGAACTTGAATTCTACTTATGAAAAGAGCTGAGTCTGTGGGGCAGTTTCCAAGTCACTAACCACCCAGTTCATTATCTTGCCACACATAACCCAATTTGTTAGACTAGAAGGGAGGGAATGGGTACCTGTACATGGAATCTTCAGTGGAATAAAAAGTACAGGGTGGGGTGAAAGGGGAACAGTGTCTTCTGCATTTGATCTTAGACGAAAAGGGAGAATGGATTTTGTGTATTTCCCTCTTCAGACTCATAGTAACTCGCCATTGGCATATTGTTCAGTCGGTGTCAGCCTCTGACCACTGGGCGGAACAAATAAGGAGAAGGGTAGACGCTGAGTGTGTTTTCAGGGGAACAGGAGTATTAGCAGAAGTGCTTTCTGTGGGTTGAAGTCAGGAATGCTGAGAGAGGAAAGAATCTTTACCAAAAGCGTGAATGTTTCAGTTACAAAGGCAATTTAAAAACAAATATAAATATTTGTTAAGAATGGCCAAACTGTGGGTGCCTGGATGGCTCAGTCAGTCAAGCATCTGGCTCTTGATCTCAGCTCAGGCCTTGGTCTGAGGGGTTGTGAGTTCAAGCCCTGCATTGGGCTTCACACTGGGTGTGAAGCCTACTTTAAAAAATTTTTCGAATAGAATAGCCCAAACTGTAATTTTTCACCTTATTTCATTTCTGGGCATTTATGTCTTATGTGTTTAGTCATAGAACAGATGTATGCAGTACTGTATTCAAAATTTATTTCAAGTTATTTACTGTAGCTTTGTGAAGAAGGCTTAAATGATCATATTTTAGTTCTTTTTATAAACAGATAAGGATATGTATCGAAAATATAAAACTTTTAATATATGGTTTCCACTGGCGTGCAGTAGTTTTGTTTTTTATTTTTTTTAAAGCTAGTATTTTTGCTTAAAGGCAAATAGCATCTCTTTTCATTTTCTCTTTCATTCTTTGGAGCCCTCTCTTTTTCATTTTCTTGGAGTCCTTTTCATTTCCCAGGTTATTCCTTAATATGGTATTTTTGGGGTGAGGGTATGAGTCTCAATTATATATAATAAACAGTATTGGGAAAGTATTAAATGTTTGCCCCTTAGTCATTTTCAGATTGTCTCGAGAAAACATTACAAAATTATGTTTCCCAAATCTAATGGGAAAATCTGTTTTATACTAAAACAATGTGAATGAACATATAGACAAGACTTGAAAAGTTTCTTAGTGTTGTGTGGCATTCAGAGTGTTACCAGGAACTCTATTGGACTCTACTGCAAATCAAAATAAAGATAAATCCTGTCAGGCAAATGCTAGTTTTGAAATCTAGCTTTTGCTAGATTCATCATTTTGACAGCATGAGTGTATTTTTCTCTATTGTTATTCAGAAACAGATATACAGTTGGCCCTTAAACAAGATAGGAGCTATGAGCACCAACCTCCACATAGTTTAAAATCCATGTATGTCTTTTTTTTTTAATGTTTTATTTATTTTTGAGACAGAGAGAGACTGAGCATGAACGGGGGAGGGTCAGAGAGAGAGGGAGACACAGAATCTGAAGCAGGCTCCAGGCTCTGAGCTGTCAGCATAGAGCCCGATGCGGGGCTCGAACTCACGGACTGTGAGATCATGACCTGAGCCGAAGTCGCACACTTAACTGACTGATCCACCCAGGCGCCCCTCCATGTGTGACTTTTGACTCACCCAAAACTTAACTACTCATAGCCTACTGTTGACCAGAACCCATACCTATAGCATAGTTGATTAATGTATATTTTGTGTGTTATGTGTATTATATGCTGAATTGTTCAAGTAAGCTAGAGAAAAGAAAATGTTACTAAGAAAATCATAAGGAAAAGAAAACACATTTACAGCACTATGCTGTAAACAACCTATATATAAGTGGGCCATGTAGTTCAAAGCCTGTGTTGTTCAAGGGTCAACCGTATTCTTTTGTTGCTTTTTATTAATGTTCTGATTTTAACTAACTTTTCCCTAGTGGCCTCTTCATTTTAGTCTGTATTTCAGAGAATTCGATTGTTGAAGTGTTTAATTTGGATAATTTTTTAAAAGTTATGTGAAAATAAGATGGCTTAAGATAAACTTTTGGGGTTTGAAGATACTTTAGTGCTCATCACCTTATAGATGAGGTAACTGAATCCTAAACGAGTTAAGTAACTTGTTGGTTCATGTGGTGTGAAACTCAGATATCTTAAACCTTGGTGTCAGACTGCATATTTTTTGCTGATGAATTTCAAAACTTTTGCTGAGTGGAAGAAATTTGAAAATGTCAAATTTTGTTCTTTTTGGGTAAATGATTCATTGAGTACAGTAAGCAAGAGCTAAAATTTTTATTATTATTTCCATTTTAACTGTTTAGAAAATACTATTCAATTAGCTGCCCCACAGTTGGATTATTTTAGGGTACTTTGTATCTAACATCTTCCTATAAAAATAGAAAAATGAGGATATTAAAAAAATACAGAAACAATAAGATCTTAACTTTCAGAGTGCTTGATAAATTCATGGAAGAAAATAGTTTCTGTATCTACTTATAGCAGATTAAAACCAAGAGAGATTGAGAAAGATCTGGTTTAACTTCTTTATATCTAATTGGTAATTATGAAGAATCATTTGCAATTACTCCTATTTATACTCTTATTACAGTTCTATTTAAAGAAGTTTGGTCTCAGGTGATAGATTCCTATAACTGATCAGGATTGTAAGATTTATTTTGAAAACAGTTAATTGAGAGGTAGAGGAAGAGATTGGGAGAGAAAGGAGCCATATCTGAAGGCAATAAAGTTAAGTGTTGGCAAGGATTTCAATAAAAGATTGAAATAGAAATAGTTATTGAAATTGAAAACAGTGGTATTGAGCAAGGTAATATGGCTAATACTTCTTGAAGACTTTCTAAAAATATACAGTGCCATTACCCAAAAATCTGAAGATTCACTGAGGCCTGTTCATAATTCACTAAGTGGAATTCTGTAGATGCAAATAAATGTGTTAGAGATAGAGCAATGGTAAATTCTGAAATCGTTTGGTAATTGGTAAGCAGAGATGTTTAATTGACAGAATGCATCACTCTTGAAAGAGGAATCAAGCAGCATAGTAATGTGTGTCTTTTGGATAGATTTCTGCTTTGGGAGAAGAAATTCCAGAAAAAAAATTAAACAATTTTCCAATTTAAGATGTTTCTTGAAATTGGGCCCTTTTAGAGAAGTATCTTCAGAATTTGAGACTTTCTCCCCTTTTTTATCACACAGAGTAACTTTTTCAACCCCTTCTGCATTTACACAGTGTATGTACTGTTAAATTCGAACCTAAATGAAAGAGGAAATGCTGAGTCTTCAGTTTGATGACCTGGGTATGTTTATGTGTAAATACACAAGACAATTTTTCCAACATTATTTGGCTTTTCATATATTCCTTTTCTGGTTTGCCACAAGTAATCTAGTACATTAAATGTAACAAGAAAGCTTTACATGCGTGTGCACATGCATGCACTTGCACAGACACACTAAAAAAAACAGCACCGTTACTAAATTAAGTAACTCTAGACACAAAATTGAATCACTATGGTCAGTTTAAAAGACACAGTATTGAGGGCGCCTGGCTGGCTCCATCAGTAGAGCATGCGAATCTTAATCTCAGGCTCGTGAGTTTGAGCCCCTCTTTGGGTATAGAGATTACTTTAAAGAAAATTGTTGTAGGGAAATTAAACATATATATTGTATAGTGTTCTTGAAAGATGAAATAAAATCTTAGTTTATTTTTTAAAAAAAGATAGTAATGGTCTTCAGATTGTTGGGTTCTTTGAGAGTGACAGGTAAGTAACATTTCTCTAACCAAGTTCTAAACCAGTTGGGAAATAAGAGAAGACAGTAAAGCTGATAAGCCAAATACCAACAAAACGATACTGGAGAATTTGGCTTATAGCAACGGGTAAGCTTTCTAATACTGAATCCTAGAGTTAGTCAGACTTGCCCACCTAGGTATAGTTAATACAAGGCTATCTCAGTTCTGTGTGTGTGTGAGAGAGAGCCCGTTTCTGTCAAGCTTCCTGCATGGAGGCAAAGAACAGAATATATGTTCTCAGTAGGCAAGCAAGTTGCCAGAAAGAGGAAAAGTAACTGAGCTACTTATTTCTAGTTTCTCCTTTCAAACTCATCTCAGATTAAGTCCTTTCACCTCACCTGGAGGAAGAAATAAAGGGAGTCTAGGGGGTAATGGTAGTGGCACTTACCCATATTTAAAGAAACAAGAGGATTCTCCTCTTTCTCTCCTCTGACATTTATATTAAAATCTTTGGTTTGTAATTCTAGCTGTAATGACAGTGGTTTTTAAAAATCATTGTAATTGACTTTCTTAACATTTCTTGTTCCTAATACCAAGGTAGTATCATGACTTGAGACACGTATCAGTGCCACCTAATTGGGTTGTTTCCTGCAGAATGCAGGACTTGGAAAGTCTCTTTAGAAACTTATTAGGACTAAAATGTCTTTTTGGTTTTAAATTTTTTAAATGTTTATTAATTTTTGAAAGAGAGACAGAACACAAGCAGGGGAGGGACAGAGAGGGAGGGAGACACAGAATCCAAAGCAGGCTCCAGGCTCCGGGCTGTCAGCACAGAGCCCGACGCAGGGCTCAAATCCATGATCTATGAGATCATGACCTGAGCCCAAGTTGGATGTTTAACTGAATAAGCCACCCAGGCACCCCAGGACTAAAATTTCTTGATAAAGGGAAGAGAATGATTAGTATACAGGTCTCACAGTTGATTCTGGTAGTGCTGGTAATGTGTCATATGCTGATGTCCTAAATGTCAGTTCTGGTTTTTTGTGTAGAAAGATATTCAGACCAGGATATTTTGGATGGGTATAAAAATGACCAATACCAAATAAGAACAGTATTAGAACTGAAGAGGAGAGGCAGCAGAAGCATTGCTATATACATCAAATTAGTGTTCAACTAAATTGAGTAACTATTAGTATTACCATGTGCCAGGCGTTATGCAAGGCCTAGGATTAGAGTGTAGAGCAAAACAGCTATAGTTTACATTGGATGTATTATTGTTAATTATGGTGGTCAGTGTGGGGGAAAAAAACTTTTGTTAAATATATTACATTCTATGTAAATGTGAAGGGGACAGCAGTTTTTGTGTGTATTTTTTATTGTTTTTCTGTATAGTCTATAGCACCAAGTGATAGCTCTTTCTTTCCTAAACTTGTGTTAGCATTCTCAAAAAAAAAAAAAAAAAACAAAACTAAAAATACCCAAACATATCTCATGCATAGTAGGTTTAAGTTAGCAGCTTCTGTATCATATCAGGGAAAGACCCTATTGCTACAAGTATTTCTCTGGTTTCTCCTTGTCTGAATTTTTGTCATTACAACTTTACTCTTTTGGATAAAGGATTGTAGAACTGCAGCCCAGTTTTATATGTTAGCAGGCAAGCTCTCAAAATACAAAGTCTTTGCCCAGGGAAGGCATATAGAGAAAACTTGGAACAACCATGATGAAATGGTGAAAGATCACTGAAGAAAAATTGGAGAACAAATTTGACATGTATAAGAAAACCATTAGATTGCATAGAAATGTGTGCCCCATGAAGGAGATTGATTGTTCTAGTTGAAGAGTGTCAGACTGAATGCAAGTGGAGGTGTGCTTTGATAATCTTAAGGTAAGGAAAAACATTTATAGTCATCTGGAATTAGTTTGAAGTGTTAAATTTTCCTCCTTTTAAGGTGACTTATATGGGGTCTGGATTTCTTTTTTTTTTTTACTATAATTCTAACATCACGTTGTGCAAGCTGATATGAACTGTATAGATTTCCTGTAATACATGTTTTGATGACTGTGAAACTAATCTATTCCAGGGTTTATATCCTAACTTTTCTTGCATGTCACTGCCATTGAAACTTGCATGAAAAACACTAACTGCCTTCTTTCTCTTCTCCCTGATTTGCTTCAAGGCTGCCAGACAGATCAAGGATAGGTATGGTATACAACCTACATTTTTATATGTGTCAATATTGAAGTCAGAAATGAAATTCAAGAACAGTTTCTTACTAGACTTTCGTTGGTTAAAATAAAAATACCTAATATCCAAGTATAAAAAAAGAAAATGTCTTCTGCATATCTTCTGGAATAAACAATATATCAGCAAGATTAAAAAAAAATTAGTTGTGGGCAATTATGTACTTCCAAAAGAATTTCATTTCTGGTATAATATAGTTAGTTTTAGTACAGTTCTTTAATTAGCTATGAATGGTTGGGAACCCATTTTGGATAATTAAAAAATACATATTTCCTGGAATGTATTTTTTTGTTCATAAATTTTATAATTATGTCTTATTTTCTGAGAAGTCATAGCATTTTTAATAGTCCTCAAGAGCTAAAGCTCTCCTACTTCACTGCTCTCCTGTTTAACACCTTTGTATTCTCATTCCATCCTGTTCCTGGTGCCATCTCTTTCTGTTTCTCATGCCACTCCTATTTAGTGTGTGGGAAGAGAAAATTAAAATGATGACTTTGTTTTAAGAGGTCTTTCTCATTGATGGAGACAGGATTAAGAAAGGTAATGTAGTACTGGCTGTAATGAATACACCAAAGGGCTAAAAGAGCTGCTAGCAGTTTTGGATTGGGTTACCACAGAAGGGATGGTTTTGCTCTTCCTGGCTAATCACTACACATTGAATAGTGAGATTATCACTTAAGGTTTATTCCTTTGAGGATTATGAAATTTGCTGAAAGGGGTAGCTCTTCAAAGCACCACTCTGAATCCTAGATTAAATTATTTATTCTTCATCAGATAATTCACAAAATTATTCATCATGGGTTGTGTGAAAACCAGTGTGTCTATTGTTAATCTTGGCTGAAGTCTTCAATTCTGTTTTTCTGATGGCCTATTATTTGACTAGAGGCAAGAGTCACATGCCAGTCTTTAGCACTCTTAGCACAGATGTTAGTTTTTATATATTTTTGGTATATTTTATATCAGGGAGTGATTAAAGACGTGGGTCATTCTTATCAATCCTGCTTGTGGAAAGGTGATTATGAGAATTTGAAGGTGAGAAGTATTGACTGTACAAAGGAATGGGTGCTAGATAGGTCAGTTTTTTGGATAAGGTAGAATTGGGTTGTATCTGCTGGAATTCGGTATGAGTAATCCATCTTTCAGTGTGGCTAGATCATTCTCTTTAGCCACCTACTCCACTCTCCACTCTGTCTTTCCCTGGTCTCTAATTTTCTGGATTAGAAGTCATTTCCTAATCAGGCTTTTGGCTATCCAAAGACTTTTTATGAGAGCCCTTGCAAGATCTTCTTTTGTTCCTCTCCTAGGAATCTATATGGTTCTGTGCTTCCAAGAATCCTTTTCTTACCCCTTACCTCTTTCTCTGTCCAGATATGTTTGTCAGAATTTAATGCTCATTTTTCATGGCTGAATGCAAAGCTTTAGTGAAGCTTAACTTCTTTGCCCCTTAAAGCCTACTTCTTGGCTTGATTTCATCAGTTTCTGAGTGATATCAGCAGTCAGGGTTCCTTTTCTCTGTCAAAGCACATTTTTTTTTTTTTTTTATCAAAGTCTATACATTATTTATTTTGGCTACCTACAAAATTTTTACTCACTGCCTGAGAACTTCTGGGTCTTGGGCTTAATGTTTTAAAACTTCATAATGTCCAGGTTTCTCTGATATAGATATTAGGTGCTCTCTCAGGAAACAAGCTTCTAGAATTCCATCATTGCCATTTATGATATAAAAATAATTTAAATATATAGTCAAAATAAAACAGTTTCTATTGAGGGAAGAAGTGGCATTTTAAGGAAAAGTGTGTACCATACCTGACCAGGGAATCAAGTATATACAATTGAAAGGGAATCAAGTATATACAATTGAAATTGAATATTTATCATTTGTTGTGATAGAGGTTATGCAGGAGAAACAGTGAGAGTGACAGTTAAAACTAGCAACTGAAATGAAAAGATAATACACATCAGATCTCTGTAACTTTACAGATCACTAGTATGTACTTCTGGGTGCTTTTAGTAATGTTGTAAGATGATTAGTTGAGGTTTGTTGTGGATTTCTGGTTCTTGAAAGAAAGGGATCTTGAAAGGGTAGGTCAAGTTAATTAGGTAGATACTTTGAGGAAATGAAAGTGCTCGTGCATATATTTTGCAGTTATTTTGTCTTTGTAAAAATAAAACTAAGGGGAAAGGATCCTTATATTCAGCTTGTATTATAGGAAGTAAACCAAGAAAATCAAGGTGAATTAAAACAGCCCTGATCACAAGGATCTTGTAATGTAGAGAATTATCTAGGATTGTAGATTGTTGGTTTGGGCTTTCAGACACAATGGTCTAAATTTATTCAGTTTAAAAGTAAAAAATTTGTTCAGTCTTTTGAAAGATTATAGCATTGTTGTACATCTGTGTTGATTTAAGGAGACTGAAATCTTCATTGACCAGAAAATAAAGGTTATTCTTGTTTTTTAGGTTTTGATAGACCTTTCTAATGTACTTTTGGGGGACATTCTTTTTCTTTGAGGCCATAGTGATTAAAATCAAGTTTTGTAGATAAAGTTTCAGATTTAAATTCCCTAAAATACTTTCGGATATTTTTTTTGAATAGTTCTCAAAAAACATTTAAATAGGTTTAGAAGCATCCAAGTAGGTTCAAACCCATTTATTGATTCAGTAGTCATTTACTAAGTACCTATCTGAATATAGCTCTTTCAGAAGTCTTCAAATCACAAGATACTTGGGGCAGTAAAGAACAAACTAAGTGGGGCACCTGGGTGGCTCAGTCGATTAAGCATCCAATTGTTGATTTGGCTCATGTCATGATCTCACAGTCACGAGATTGAGCCCCTCTCAGGCTCTTTGCTGGGCATGGATCCCACTTCAGATTCTCTCTCTCTCTCCCTCTGCCCTTCCCACTCACATGCACACTCTCTACAAAAATAAATAAATAAAAGAACAAAGTAAGACTGAGCCTTTGTTTCTAACTTTTTATTGATATCACCTGAAATTTAAGTATTGAGAACCAATAACTTAAAGTAATGTGTGTGAAATATTCAGCATTGTGCTTGGTATTCAGTGAGTTCCCTTTCCCATAAATTGTATTTCACTATAGCACATTCTTCTTGATCAATAGATCAGCTGTCATTGTTATTAATAAAATAATTACTTTCCTAGTTAAAAAAAATTTTTTTTAACGTTTATTTATTTTTGAGACAGAGAGAGACAGAGCATGAATGGGGGGAGGGTCAGAGAGAGAGGGAGACACAGAATCGGAAGCAGGCTCCAGGCTCTGAGCCGTCAGCACAGAGCCCGACGCGGAGCTCGAACTCACAGACCGCGAGATCACGACCTGAGCCGAAGTCGGACGCTTAACCGACTGAGCCACCCAGGCACCCCTACTTTCCTAGTTTTAAAATGAAGTAAACTAACTGAATACAGCATCCATTTGGCATTTTTTATCCCAAAATAACTGAAGATAGCAAGTTTGATATCTTCCCATACCACGTATCTCTGGGTAGATTTGGCAGATTTGAATGACTAGGCCTAGCATTCCCTTTGTTCCTCAACTCTATTTACTTCTCCCAAATTGTGTACTAGCAGGACATCATCCGTGAATAGTACTTTTGTATCATTCTTTGACCAAAGATGATAAGGGGTGTTACTTTGTTATACTTGTGGAAACTTATTGTAATATAAAAAATTGAAATTTGAGATAAAATGGCAAATTAATAGAATATAAGAATTTCTTTTAATCTCCAGTTTTAATTGACAGAACAGTTCCCCCATACTTTGTGTAAAATGAGGTCTGGTATGGCTTCTTTCTTTTTTTGTTTTGTTTTTAATACCATATTCATCTAATAATGTGTATTGGACTGTTATTTCCATGGCATATGGTTTCACAAGGCTGTTTCTCCTTATATCCTTCTGTTTAGCTGATTTTGATGCATCACAGCGACACCTACTAACATGGTTTTCAAAATTGTGATTTCACTTCTCTCCTTTCTCATCCATGGCCCATCTTTAGCAGCTGCCAGGTGCACAATATTTGGTCAGTGTACTTTTACTCTTATTTGAGGATACATGGAGTAGTTGTGACTACTAAAGAGAGCATGCAGTTCATGATCTGGCACGTGAGAAGGGGTGAGGTTGGCATCAGGAAGTCAGTGAGATTGAGCGTACAGAGGCTCAGATCCCTGTTGAGTCTGCTAATGATGATTTTATATGGGATATTTTCTCGAGATATTTTTATTTGTGTACAATTTTATAAAACTGCTGGAGGAAAGTTGCTTTAAGTTATATTTGAATGTCTAAAATTAAAAACATTTTACAGTTTTTTATTTAGTTAATTTCGAGAGACTCTGAGAACAAATTTATTTTTAGCTTTGTTACCTTTGTTATAGTTTCTGATATTACTAAAGTGAAATAACTTCTGTCTTTTCATTTATAAATTAAATATGGTATACTCCCCATTCTTTTATTTTTAAAAGTATATTTTTGTTTACCATAGAGTAACAATGGCTTCAGCCTTTCGCCTTTCTTTGAAACCAAAGGTCAGTGACAACATGACTCATTTAATGGTGGATTTTTCTCAGGAAAGACAGATGCTGCAAACTTTGAAGTTTTTGCCAGGTAAGTGTGTGTGTGTGTGTGTGTGTGTGTGTGTGTGTGTGTGTGTGTATATAAAATGTAAGGTGGTTTTTTTGGTAATGAACTTTGAAATGTATATATTAAAGAAGTGTAATGTGGAAATTTTTTTCTTTTTTTTTTTTTTAACGTTTTTATTTATTTTTGAGACAGAGAGAGACAGAGCATGAACGGGGAGGGGCAGAGAGAGAGGGAGACACAGAATTGGAAGCAGGCTCCAGGCTCTGAGCTGTCAGCACAGAGCCCGACGCGGGGCTCGAACTCACAGACCATGAGATCGTGACCTGAGCTGAAGTCGGACGCTTAACCGACTGAGCCACCCAGGTGCCCCATGGAAATTTTTTTCTTTAATCAGCGAAGGAATAATTAAATTTCCTAGTCTTTACTTTTAGAGAATTACTTCCCTGGTAGTAAAAATTCTGTTTTAAGAATCCGTCAAAGGGATATCTTTTATTGCTAGTTTGGCAGAGAGAAGCAATGATAGTTAACAGTGAGTTTTAGGGCCAGACTTAGATTTGAATCCTGGCTGTCATTTACTTGCTGTGAACCTTGAACAAATTATTTAACTTTGCTTCATTTTTTTCATCTATAAAATGTGATGGTATTCTTCTAGGGTTTGTGTAAGGATTAAATGAATTGAAATCTCTAAATCTCTTGAAAGGAGTACCTGGCACATAGTAAACACTCAATGCATATTAGCTGTTGTAATTACCAGTATAGTTGTGGTTATTGGCTCAGATGACATTTTATTTCCAGTAAGAATATTAGTATGAGGATATTTCAGTAGCCAAAACCATTTGAAATTGAGTCTCAAATTATTTTCCACATATGTGAGAGAGCCAACTAGGGACCTTTTGGCTAGTATTCTCTTTTTAGCTCACATCAAGTGATGGTGTTAGGCTGGTAGCTAAAACAGTTTGGACATGGTGGATTGAAGGAGCAAGTGCTTTTTTACTTACTTACAGGTGCTTTTTACTTACAGGTTCTAGTTAGAACTGACCTTTAGTTTTTGGAGGTTAGCTGAAAAGACAGATTAGTAGTCATGAAACTATAATGGAACTAATAAAGGTAGCATAAGTGAAGTACAGTAAAACCTTGGATTGTGAGTAGCTTGTTCTGCTAGTGTTCTGCAAATGAGCAATGATTTCTAATAAATTTTAACTCGATAAATGAGTGATGTCTTGCAATACGAATAGTGTGTGACCCCAAATGTCACATGATCACAACTGAGCCAATAATTCTTGAAATTCGCCTTGATCTACGGGTGCTATAGATTACAAGCATGTTCCTGGAACAAATTATGCTCACAAGCCAAGGTTTTACCGTATTAACTTGTGTGGGCCAGGTCAGAAGTTGTAAGTAAGTTTATAGAAGGAAAAGATGAGAGAAGGAGCCATAGATGTAGAAGAAGAAATGATACTTCAGGATACTACAGGATATCTACCTGTAAATTGGCCTTTCAGAATTACTATTGTCATTCATACTACTTTTTTTAATTAAAAAAATTTTTTTTTAGTGTTTATTTTTGAGAGAGAGAGAGACAGAGTGTGAGTTGGGGAGGGTCAGAGAGAGAGAGAGGGAGACACAGAATCCGAAGCAGGCTCCAGGCTCTGAGCTGTCAGCACAGAGCCCGATGAGGGGCTCAGACCCATGAACCATGAGATCGTGACCTGAACTGAAGTCAGATGCTTAACTGACTGAGCCACCCAGGTGCCCCTACAATTCTTTTATAAACAAGATTTTAAAAATACATAGAAAATATCTTAAATTATTATAATCATTGGATTCAAAGCAAGTTATTCTATTTTGTCAGTAGTAATTTCATCTATATTCTATAGCTGTTTGAAGTAACAGATTAAAAAATATGTGTTGAGAAGTAACAAGTCATTGTTGGTTCTTTATCCTTAGCATGTTTGAATTGCTTTTTGCCAAATAAGATTTTAATAAATTTTGAATACGTCTGTGAAAGAACTTTGAAACGAATTTTTAAATGGAACTTGGAAAAATAGTTACTTTGCATTTATAGGGTATCCTTTCTTGTAGCCTGATTCAATGGAACCATTCAAAAGCAACTTGAAGAAAGCAGTTTGAATGACAAACGTGAATATTGGATTAGTACTGTAGTAAATGAGAAATGAGCCTGTATTTTTCTTTCAGTTCCTAAAGCTCCAGAGATAGATCCAGTAGAGTGTTTGGTGGCTGACAATTCTGTAACAGTGGCTTGGAGAATGCCAGAAGAAGATAATAAAATTGACCATTTTATACTGGAATATCGGAAAACTAATTTTGACGGACTTCCACGTGTAAAGGATGAGCGATGCTGGGAGATAATTGATAATATTAAGGGTACTGAATATACACTATCAGGTAAAATGACTGCATTTTATGAATTTCTCAGAAAGTAAATGTAATTGTGAAGAATATTTTGAGTTACTTTAGATTTTTTTTTTAAGTTTTATTTCTCTTTTTCAAAGAGAGCAAGAGAGCACGCATGAGCTCATGGGAGGGGTGGAGAGGGAATCCCAAGCAGGCCTGTGCCGTTAGCATGGAGTGTGATGCGATGCTCAAACCCACAAACCCGAGCTGGAATCGAGTCAGAGGCTTAACCAACTGAGCTACCCAGGCTCCCATTGAGTTACTTTAGAAGATGAAATTAAGTTTCTTTAGCCAGGTTTTTTCTATATTTGTTATAGAAGTGAATTTCTCTTATAATATCAGGAAAACTTTCATTTTAACTCCTTCCTGATATTTTCAGTTTGTTAAAACAATGTATGTAAAACAAACATGAAGGAGTGTTTTGGAAACAATATTTCAGAATAATATCAATTTTAACCTTGGTTTTTTTTTCTTTTGTTTTTTATTTTTTTAAATGTTTTTATTTATTTTTGAGACAGAGACAGAGCATGAGCAGGGGAGGGGCAGAGACAGAGGGAGACACAGAATCCAGAGCAGGCTCCAGGCTCCGAACTGTCAGCACAGAGCCCGACGCGGGGCTCAAACTCACAGACTGAGAGATCATGACCTGAGCCGAAGTCAGACACTCAACCGACTGAGCCACCCAGGCACCCCTAACCTTGGTTTTTTAACAATAAAAAAGCTGTCAACTTTTTAGGTGTATGTACTACCCCTGCATTTCAGTGGTTCTATAAATACTGTTGCTTTTACCTTTTTATGATTATCTTCACAGTAATACTTACAGAGCTATGACTTGGTATTAGAAATTTGTGTGTTAGCCTTTTCTTTCAAAAGGTGTCTCTATGTATAGGGGACTTTGGCTATTTTAAGTAGCCATATATTTCTGGAGTAGTTCAACACTTGTTATGCATGAGCAGTAACATTACCATTGTTGAGCACTTACCACTTGTCAGCTGGGCTGAAGTGTATTACATAATACGTCTCATTTAATCAGTATAGTACATCTCATTTAATCTTTATAATTATGAGGTTGGTTTTATCATTTTTATTTTACAGATACAAAAACTCGTTCTGTCAAGTTGTTGATGGTCCCTTAGCTAGTAGTTTTTGGACTGAAGTTTTAAAGATTTTATTATTTTTCCAAAGTAATCTCTACAACCAGTGTGGGACTCGAAGTTATAACTCCGAGAACCAGAGTTGCATGCTCCACTGATTGAGCCAGCCAGGCATCCCACGGACTAAGATTTTAATCTAGACATGACTAACTTCAGAGTTTTACTGTTAATCCCTATGCTTTACTTTCTCTTTAAATTCATTTTTCACATAAAAATACAGTGTTTCATAAATATTAAAATTCTTTAGGGTGTCTTCTTTCCAGAAATTGAGTATGTTACTTTAAATTGTAGGGGCGCCTGGGTGGCTCAGTCGGTTAAGCGTCCGACTTCGTCTCAGGTCATGATCTCATGGTTCATGAGTTTGAGCTCCATCTCTGGCTCTGTGCTGACAGCTCAGAGCCTGGGGCCTGCTTCTGATTCTTTGTCTCCATCTCTCTGCCCCTCCCCCGCTTATGCTCTGTCTCTCTCAAAAATAAATAAAACATTAAAAAAATTTTTTTTTAAATATGTCATTTCTCCTTGAATGAGACATTACTTTTAACTTGAGAATACCTTTTTTATCACTAGGTTAAAAAAGAAAAAAACATTGATTAAACTGTATTATTTATATTTATTTTGAAGAAAGTAAGAAATAAATCATGATTCCTCTTATTTTTGGCATTACCACTGTTTTAACATAAATTTATACTCTTGTGGAGTAAAGAGAGAGTTCTCAAGAGGGAATATGTCTGTTTGAAGGTTCATACTCCTACTTTGGGAGTAGATCCCTTTAATTTTCATATCTGAAAACCATTTTCATTTTTTCAGGCTTAAAGTTTGATTCAAAGTATATGAATTTCAGAGTTCGAGCTTGTAACAAAGCTGTAGCTGGAGAGTATTCTGATCCAGTGACTCTAGAGACCAAAGGTAAGATTGTAGATATTTATACAGCATAAAACAAAACTTAACATCCGAAGTTATTCAAGACTGGGACAGGAAGCATTTCATGTATGGTAGCATTTCTTCCCTATGGTGTGTGCATGCACATACATACTTGGAATTCTCAGTAGTAGGAATTTTAAGATGGGGAAATTAGGACTATACTATTGGTTTTCATTAGTTCTTCTTTTATGATGGTATTCAAATAGGTAAAATAGACTGAGGTGATGGCATTGGATCCTGTGGTGTGGGTGCTTTACAAATTGCAGTCTAGTATGAATACATAGGCATCAGTGAGATTTGCCCACAGATTTCTCAGGGAATGGATTATGGCTCAATAATGGGGAAGTACCATTTCAGTTTAGTTCACGTACTCTCTGTTTTCTTAAACTTTATTGTAGAAATTAACATTTGTATATTTTATTAATGTTTAACAAAGCACTCTCACACTTTTCCATTTGATCATTAAAACCATCTTGAGGGATCGGTAGTTTAAATATTATTGATACCCATTTTGCAGATGAAGAAAGTTTACATATGTTAAATGACTTGCCCACAATCCCTAGAACTAACTTGAAAAGGTGTAAAGAATCTGTTTCCAAATTCTGTGCCAACCCTTACTGTGGGCCTAGAACCAATTCAGATTTAGTTAAAACTCTCTAGAATAACATATTTCAACATGGAACATTTTTGAGGTATTTACCATTTGGAAGGCCATAATGCTAGAGATCTTGTCATTTGTGAGATGGTAATTGACTGGATTTACCGCAAGAATCAGATTCTACACACTGTTGAAGTACTTCAGCCTTTAGGGGTTCCACTGACCTTCAGTTCACATAGCATTTGAATAGGTTTGTGTGCCAGAGTTTGATATGATTTGGAAGTGATATAAAAATATTATATCAGAATAGGTGCACCTGGGTGGCTCCGTTGGTCAAGTGCTGACTTCGGCTCAGGTCATGATCTCGCGGTTCGTGAGTTCAAGCCCCGCATCAGGCTCTGTGCTGACATCTCAGAGCTTGGAGCCTGCTTCAGATTCTGTGTCTCCCTCTCTCTCTGCTCCTAACCCACTCGTGCTCTGTCTTTCTCTGTCTCTCAAAAATAAATGAACATTTAAAAAAATTTTGTTTAAAAATACTATATCAGAATAAAGCAAAATGTGAAGGCTGTAAATTATTGACAAGACAAATTCAAAAGAAAATGTTTGCATCATAAAGGTAAAAAAACTAAATTGAGTAATTTTTTTGGATTAGCTAATGTTTTTATTGGAGAACTATAGATAACTTAGCCAAGAAATGGTTACTCTGAGTTACTTGTTATTAAACTGATACATGACTGTGATTTCTTGAGAGATTTTAACCATTTCAAGGTATAGTTATAGATAATCTTTACACAACTTGAACTGTTTTGATCCCTGTCAGGTAAAACTGCATTGTTACTATTATTCTTCCTCAGAAGTATTGTATCTTTTTATTTCTTTTGTTTCTTCTCCTTTACCCTTTATATTTAGTCACCAAACTTGGACCTGTACATTTCTATGCAAATTCTACAGATTCAGGAGAATGAATAGCTGGCTTTAAGTTTCCTTGGAGCTGGGCTGGCTGGTCCTGTTGGCAGGGTCTGGATCTTAGTAGTCAAATTCTTGATCTTGGTGTTTGTAGAGTTGCTTTTAGTCTTTTTAAGAGTTCTCACTGGGTAAACCCCCTGGGGTGGGGATAGACTGAAACTCAACCCTGAGGCCCACTAAACATTTAATTCTGACCTTCAGGGAGACCCAGAATAAAATTTGTCTCTTAAATAGCTATAGACCACAGCTTCTCTAAGGGTTATTCCATATCACTGGACTGGTAACTAATGAGGGCAAGAGCTCCAGAGGAAAAGTGTAGATGTTAAAAAAATGACATGTTGAACAATTGCTTGCTAGTTTTTTTGGCTTGCTGTAGTGCTTTTTGACCAACCATTGAAATACAGGTATGGAGCAGAGAATTGGAGGAAAAGGGAGAGAGCTGGAAGTTAAATAGTTGAAGCCTACCAGAATTTGATATCCTGTCTTTTAATGGTGCTTGATGTGGGAAATAGTGAACATTATTAATTTCTGTCTCCAATGTATGTAGCACTGTTCTTGTCATTGGGATTGTCACATATGATGAATATTGAAGTTCTAAATAACGGAATTTTTCTGTGGTTTATCCCTTCCTTTTAATGGTAAATGATATGATACTAATCACAAATTACTCTCTAGTTTCAAATGATAGTGGCTATGGTGTAATTTTAGAGTACCAAGAAAGCAGCTACCAATACAAATACATGAAACATAATGGTACTTTGATATTTTGGTACTTTGTTTTCACAGACTTTTAAAGCTATGGAAACTAATTCCTAGTTCTATTACAGAGATGATATGAGAGGCAGGACTGATGTTTGAGACCTCACTTTTGAGGACTGATGTGTTTTTTTCTTTTAAACAACACAGTATCCCTGTTAGCTTAGAGAGGCTCCATGACTTCATTGAGGTCCCAGAAAGGGGATAGTGTCCAAAAAAAAGGGGGGGGGGCAAAGAGATAGATTAAAGATTATACCCCTGGGATGGAAGCCCATGCCTTTCTGTCTGCATGTTGTGGTATTTAGTAAGTCTAGTCTCAGGTAGCTTGGAAGGGACACCTTTTCTTGCCACTCATGACCCCATCCTTCTTCATCACATTAAACATTAGGGAACAGTCTTAGGATTTTTTTCTTACCTTTTTTTTTTAAACAGCCTTAGGATTGTAACAAGTGGCTGAGAATTGATAGCACCTTAGAGTTATAATTTACTTTTTCTTTCTGTCCAGAGTAGGTACCCTCACATGTATTACCTAATAGCTAAGAGAAGCAGATTAGTTGGTAACTATGTAGTATATGATACCTTGCTTAAGGCAGAGATTCTAGGCATTGTATTTTAGAATATGAGGAGTCTGCATTACTCAGCTTAATCAATATATTTTAATGATTTACCGTCAATTTCCAAAGAGAGAAGATAATACCTTTGTTACACTGATTTCCTAAAGTAGGAATTCTGAATAAGTTTTCTGAGTAGGATAGATAGTTCCCCCAAATACCAAATAATTTAAAAAACATAGTTTTGTTTCATTTTTTAAAATTATTTTTAAAATTTGAGTACAGTTGGCACAATGTTACATTAGTTTTAGGGGTACAACATAGTGATTCAACTTCTCTGTAGTTCCCCCAAATGTAGCTACTATCTGTCACCATATAATGCTATTCCAGTCCCAGTTACTATATTCCTTATGCTGTGCCTTTTTCCCCCATGACTTTGTTTTCATGTATTTTGATTTGTTTTCATTTAAGTAGTCTTTTCCCCATCTCTTTGCCATGTAAGTCACCTCTAGCTCTATCAGCTGGCTCGGTTTCCTTGTTCCTGTGCCTATTTCTGTGTGCTTTTTTTTTTTTTTTAATGTTTATTTTCAAGAGACAGAGAGACAGAGAGAGACAGAGTGTGAATGAGGGAGGGGCAGAGAGAGAGGGAGACACAGAATCTGAAGCAGGCTCCAGGCTCTGAGCTGTTAGCACAGAGCCCGATGCGGGGCGTGAACTCACAAACCGCGAGATCATGACCTAAGCTGAAGTTGGATGCTTAACTGACTGAGCCACTCAGGCACCCTCTCTGTGCTTTTTAATTCAAAACTACTGAGAGTTTAACTATGAAACTATTAAGTGTTAGAGCATCAGAGAAAATGTGTATGTGCCAGGCTGTGTAATTTTTTATACCACATCACTTTTTCTCCATCCTCAATTCCACCGGCTCCTCTTCCTATTTAGTTATAACAGTCAACTGATAATCAACTGATATTCTAATAGCAGAAAGTTGAGATTATTATGTGCTGATGGAGATTCCAGCAGAAGGAATAGCAGAAACACCAGAGGCCATGCAAGTACATTGTATTTGGTTGGAGCTACAGGATATGTAGAGAACAATAATGGGAAATAAAATAGGAGTTAGTAAATTACAGCCTTAACTTTGGGGACTTTAAATGCCAGCTAGCATTAGGAGTTTGAACTTTATTCTCTTATCTATGGTATTGAATAAACTAAGTAGGAAGATAATGTGGTGATAGTTGTGCTTCAGAATGTGGAGATGTTCTATATTTTTTAAAAATTGAAATCTTATTTTGGATAGCACTAAACTTCAATTTGGATAGCTCATCATCCCATTTGAACCTGAGAGTTGAAGATACCTGTGTAGAGTGGGATCCTACAGGAGGAAAAGGTCAAGAAAGTAAAATGAAAGGAAAAGAGAATAAGGGCAGGTAAGCTAGTTTATTAAACGTTAATCTGGACACGTACTTGTACATTGATTCTCATTTGACAATAACTTATGATGAAATTCTTATTCTATATATCAGTATAATTTGTGATGTGTTAGTAACATTGAAGTGAAGAATATAATACTGTTTATGAGTACTTGAATTTGTTATAACATTTTCATTACTCTTTTCCCTGATCTTCTTTTTACACATTTTATTTCAGTATTCCATTTCCTTAAAGTTGTATCTACGTAACTTGAACTGCTTAAGAGAGAAGTTCCTGAATTTTAGACTTATAGATCTCCTGTCTTACCTGAAGGTCTGCATGAAATGACAACTTTTAGCAATACAACCCCATTGTCTTGCCCCTGATTAGCAACCTTATGAACCAAAGAGGAAGGCTTTGGACCTTTTGCTGTCAGTCTTACTTAGACAGTCTCAAAGTATGCCTTTTTTAACAGAGGAAAATTTTGCTCAAACTGGAATAAAGTAATAATCACCGTGAGTTACAACAGTGAATAAAAAAAAAAAATTCTCAGCAGGCTTTTGATCTAATTTAATTATAAGCTGTTACATTTAAGTTGTAAAGCATTCTCTTAACAGTTGCCTATTTTTATCTAACAGTGTCCATGTTACTTCACTGAAGAAACATACAAGGTGATGATCTATGTGTGTCTGGTTCTAGGACTTAGTATATCTAGCTTGGCTGAATAACTTTAATTTTTCTTTTAACCAATAAGCAGAAGCCATTGCATCAGCCTTCGTAGGCTAAAATATTGCTCTGTGTAGACTGTCTGTATTGGTAGCTTATGTTTTGAATTTACAGCACTGTAGTACGCTGCATACTATTTGGATTATATTGTATATGGTAACAAAACAATGAGCCCTGCTTTTGAAGTCTTTCTTGAGTTTTTTTCCCTCATCTTATTTTTTTCTGCATTTACTTATACCTGGCATCTTTCTTGTGCTATAGTCAGTATATCTAACATTACAGCTTTGCTTTTATTTGTATTTGACATGAGGGAGGTTTGACGTGTTCTATATTGTATAATAATTATACAGTTTCAAAAGCATTTAATAAATAAAGTTACTCAAGTTAAGACAGTGCCCAGAAAGATGAATCGGTTCAAATTGCATGGTTAATAATGTGCTGATTTGAAGATACCACATATCTTTACCAGAAACCAGAATGTGTTACTTTTTCAAAATTACCTTCTTTTATTTTTTCTAGCTTATTTGCTCATTATTAGTGAAAGTGACTTCAGAGTTGGAATATTATAAATTGTAAAATGTTGCTGAATTTAATCGAGTGTATGAAGTTTCATTTGGTTCCTTGGAGATTTTTAGAGTGTTTGTATTTAGCAGTTCAGCTCATATTACTTCTCTTTCTCCTCTCCTTTTTTTTCTCCTCTCCTTTAAAGGGTATTTTATGTATGGAGTACTTCTGGAATGATATGCACATTTATTCTTTCCATTAATATTTATTCACTGTAGATGTTAGCTGGATGTGGTAGAGTTTGTAGGAATAAACACTCTTCTTGTCTTTAAGAAATTTGCCCTAACTTACATGTATGAGATATATATCTATATATAAGTAACAACACAAGGTAGAGATTATGGGTAATGGTAAGTGTGACAAAAGGAGTTGAAGAAGAAAGATAGCCTGAGCTGCCAGATATTAAAGTGGTCAGTTAGACAGTGCCAGGTATTAAAGTGGTTCACTGTCTAACTTTCTACCTGATTTCTAACTTTTACTTGATTGAAAGTAACAATCAAGCCTTTATTCACTTACTATGATAGTTTAAGCAAGAGGCCACAAAGGAAAGAGTGCTAGCTCTCCTCAGTGTTCCGTTTTTCCCAGCAGAATAGCACGGGTGAGGGTCAGGTAAATCAAAGCAGATTGCAGACGGTGGTTATCTGGAGGATCATCTCACTGCCAAGAGAGCCCCAAACAGAATGCTCTTCCTGTTGTTTTATGGACCTGTGGCCAAGAAGGAGGGAGAAGAGGCAAGGTTAGAGGTGGAAAACTATTGAGATTGAATGGAGAGAAGTATCTTCAGACCACATCAACTCACACCGCTTCTTTAAGGAGGTCTACTCAGAAGCAGCTGAAAAAGTCTTAGCTGAAGACCCCCTCTCCCATAAGGGGGTCTCTGAATAGAGGTGCCTAAGCTAGGAATGCAGATATGCATAGGATCTCTGGGTTGGGGTGGGGGAGGATTACATCTTCCTTAAGAAATTGTGGTGAACTAACTATATACCAAGTCTGGTATGGGAAAGGCAGCCCTCTCAGGCCTGTCACTAAAAGCGTTTTATAATCATTTATGGTTCAGCCTGAAAGATTACACATAGGATTTTGGCCTGGAGGTGGATTCCTCAGCAGAGTTATTTGGCCTGGTAAGATCTGGAAGATCTTCATTAAAGGAATGGCATTTAGGCTGGTTCTCAAGGAAGTGGAAAAACAAGTGCCATTTGGCCTTACATAAACTAGAGGAAAAGCACTGAAGCAGGTTGCCTGAGTTTAAGGAACACTGCTGCATTTAGCTGAATAGTGCTCTCTAGGGTGAGAAGGCTAGAAAAGCAGACTAGGACCAAATCAAGAAGTCCCTTAAATCCAAAGCAAAGTTGTTTGTAGGCAGTAAGGAAGTGCTTGAAGATTTTAAGGTAGCAGTATCAAACTTAGGTTTATGTGGTAACAGTGAATAAGATGAATTAGGTGGCAAAGAGATCATTTCAGAAGCTAGTAAAACAATCTAGAGGGCAGGTAAACAAAGAGCCTTAATTTACACAGTAGAGCTGCAAAGGTGTCTTAAAGGGGTGAGGTGGGAGGGGATTGTGTTTGACATCAGACAGTAATAGCTGTTGTACTTCTTGCAAAAATGGACTTTGGGTTGGAAGTCTAGAATGCTGCAATGGAAGAGTTCCCCTTATTTAACTTTTCTCTGAAATGTAAACTGCCACTCTTAATAGTTATGCCTGTTTGTCTTTTCTCCATGCTTTTCCCTTTATTTCTTTACTACTGGTAAGTTACAATTTTTTACTGTTTTTTAAATACAGGGATTCAATATAATTGAAATGTTATTTTTAAACATCTTCGGGTCTTGATTTGTTTTGAGTTTTTGAGATTTAGTGAAAGGCCTAGTACTGTCCCATTTATCCTATCATATAATTCGACATAAGGGGAGATCAGGTTGAATCTTGTAGGAGAAATGCTTTATAATATTTGATATTATCCTATGCATGGATTTGGGCATTGACTATTTCTCTTTTTTACGAAGAAAAGATTCAGAACAAAAATACTTACTGCTTATGAAAAGGTTATTTAGTTTTTATCATAATAAGATTATTTCTGCCATTTTAAAATTTAAATTTAACTGCAAGAAATGTAAGCTCTATAATCCATTATCTTTTTTGAATTCTTTTTTCTCTTCAGTTCTTTTGTTTTCCTTTTTAACTTGTCTCATTTTGGCATTGTTTCTTATTTCAACTGTGTGTTCTTTGTATAAGCTTTGTTCAGTCTGCATGATATTAGTGTTCAGCCTGCTTTGTGTTGATGACTTCTTACATTTCAGTGTTTTTAATTGACAACTCTGATAATAATTCAGATGAAATTAAATGGTGCTATTTGTGCAACGTAATTAAAACTTTTCAAAGTTGCCTTTCATGACTTGTAGTTTTAGTTTGTGAGGCATCTACAGCATAGAGTATTTGTTTCTCTTTTCTTCCTGTTTGTATAGAAGTGGCACGCCGTCCCCCAAACGGACATCCATAGGCTCCAGGCCACCAGCAGGAAGAGGCAGCAGAGATCGTTTTACTGGGGAATCATACACAGTGCTGGGTACGATAAACATAGTCTTCATCGTGTCAGGTTAAAGGGATCACAGTCACACCGCTGGGCTTTCTGCCCACTTAGAGCTGGAGTGGCCTGTTTCTAATGAATATTTGCCAAGGTTTCTCCCTCCTGAATCCTAATTACTTTTGGCAGGTTTCAAATTGTCTAATTATTTATTTGTTTAAAACTTTATTTCATTTTATATAGTGCTCTACGTGTATGCATATCTTTTGAGGAGATAGAAAGAAAAGTTCTAAAGCTTTTTATATATCAGAAAAAATAATAGTAAATATACAAGTAAAGTTATAACAGATACTCTGCTTATAGTGTCTGTGTGTTAATATGGTTATTTTCCTGAATCAGATTTTTTGTGACATTTTGTGGGATAAGAGGTAACAATCTATGTGACATATAAGGAAGATCTTAGAGTCAAATTTACCTTTCTGATCTTTTGTAGGAGACACTGCTATTGAAAGTGGACAACATTATTGGGAGGTCAAGGCCCAGAAGGATTGTAAATCTTACAGTGTGGGAGTAGCATACAAGACTTTGGGGAAATTTGACCAATTAGGAAAGACAAACACTAGTTGGTGTATCCATGTCAACAACTGGCTGCAAAACACATTTGCAGCAAAGCATAATAATAAAGTCAAAGCCTTGGATGTTACTGTTCCTGAGAGAATAGGTGTATTTTGTGATTTTGATGGGGGTAAGTTTACTGATTTTCTCATAAGTCATTTTGTCATAGTTGCTTACATTTCAGTACTTTTCATTGGTAATCATCTACACAGAATTTTTTAATATTGTGGTAAGGGTGTTTTGACCTACTAGGATTTGATCACAAACATAACTTCAGCTCTGGAATTGACTGGGAGGGTGTGTGATGTTTGCCTGAAGCCTTACAAAAGCACTCATGTGTAATATGCTTAATAGGTCTGAAAGAATGATTTTGTTAATTTTAGTGTTAAGCATTAAAATTTTTTCTATCCATTTTTATTCCTTCCTGACCTGATTTTATTATCTGTGAAGAGTGGTGGAGTCAGATTTTTCAAGTTGGAGTGGACTTAGAAATTACCCAAATCTACACAGTATAAAATCCTTACTACAGTTATCTCTGCAGGTAGCTGTCACTCCTGTGCTTGAAGAACTTTTTAATGTGAAGTTTATTGTTGTAGAAGGTAGCTTACTTCATTGTTGGAGAGCATTTGGTAACGCAGAGTTTTTCTTAAATTGACTTGTTTTGTTTCCTGATACCTTATGAGACTGCTATCCTTAAATTTTGTCATCTGAAGAAACAGAATTATGTTCCCTAATTCACATTTACATGATAATCCTTATTTGCTTAAAACCTAACATTGCTTCTTGTGCTGGTTTTCCAGACTATACATTTTCTGTATCACTGGCTGTTCCTCTTACAGTTTAATTTTTCCAAAATTAAAGTATGTGGTTGTACACTATGTCAACATTATTTCTTAAAGATGGGTTCTCAAAGTAGAACATGAAACTGAGGACCATCATAGGACATGTAATTTGGCAGCACAGTTTCTAGTACTATGACTTATTATCATTGTTGGTGTATATTGAGCTTGTAGCCACCCAGTCCACTAGATCTTTTTTCATGGAGTTCTATTAAACTGTCTTTTTTTTTTTTTTCATATATTAGGCAGTTTAGGGTTGTTTTTGTTGCTTAAACTCAAGAATATTACATTTGTCCTTAAGTTTCTTTTGTTGTTGTTGTTTCAAATTTTTATTTAAATAGTAGTTAACATGTAGTGTACTGTTGGTTTCGGGAGTAGAATTTAGTGATTCCTCACTGACATATAACACCTAGTGCTCATCCCAGCAAGTGCCCTCCTGAATGTCCATCACCCATTTAGCCCGTCTCCCGCCCACCTCCCTCCGTCAACCCTAAATGTGTTCTCTATAGTTAAGAGTCTCTAATGGTTTCATCTTAATAGATTTGACCAAGCTTTTTGAACACTTCTGTTAAAATCATCTAAAAAGTAACTTGATATTTATCTTTTGCAAAATTTGCTTGAACTTTTTGAATTAGGTATTTGATAAGTATCTTCTCACTGCCATCAAAATATTTATAAAAATTTTTTTTTTTAATTTTTTTTTCAATGTTTTTTATTTATTTTTTGGGACAGAGAGAGACAGAGCATGAACAGGGGAGGGGCAGAGAGAGAGGGAGACACAGAATCGGAAACAGGCTCCAGGCTCCGAGCCATCAGCCCAGAGCCTGACGCGGGGCTCGAACTCACGGACCGCGAGATCGTGACCTGGCTGAAGTCGGACGCTTAACCGACTGCGCCACCCAGGCGCCCCTAAAAATTTTAAAGATGACCCTATCGAACTAGGGAACAAAAGTAATTCCCTAGGTACTTCTGTTTAAATTGACACTGTAGGGGCGCCTGGGTGGCGCAGTCGGTTAAGCGTCTGACTTCAGCCAGGTCACGATCTCGCGGTCCGTGAGTTCAAGCCCCGCGTCAGGCTCTGGGCTGATGGCTCAGAGCCTGGAGCCTGTTTCCGATTCTGTGTCTCCCTCTCTTTCTGCCCCTCCCCCGTTCATGCCCTGTCTCTCTCTGTCCCAAAAATAAATAAAAACGTTGAGAAAAAAAATAATAAAATAAATTGACACTGTAAACAAATAAAAGTCTATTTTACCATTTTAAGTAACATGTTTCCAGATAATTTACTGAGCCTTCAACCTAGTTACTCAAAAGGAAAAAGTTAATTTTGGCTTGATTGAATTTTAGTGACAACACGTTAGTCTTGCTGCATTCTTTTTACTTACTCACTTTGACTCAGATAAATAATTTCCTCAGGATACATGTTAAATTTATTGGCACACATTTTTTTTTTCTTTTTCAACTCTCAAGGTAGCTTTTGCTTATCTTCCATTTTCTCATGCTATGTGCGGTTCCTCAAAGATGGTAGTGAGAAGTGTGTTGTTTAGCCTAGAGCATAGGGTAGGAAGGAGTTGTAATGTAAGATGGGATCAGATTCCGAGAGCCTTGAAAAATAATAATAGGCTCCTCTTTTTTGTTATTTGAGGGAAGGGGATTTCTCTGCATTTTAGGAAACTGTAGTCATATGATAATCTAGTTTTAGAAATATTGGAGAGTAAGTGGCTAAATGTGGAAGAGATTGCAAACATATTGTTAAGACTCTTCAGGAGTCAGTCTTTAAGCAGTGTGGCAGGGCCATGTTTATCTTGTTAAGTATTGTTTCCTTATTCCTGGCAAGGGCTTTTTACATTGTAAGCCCTTAATAAGTGTTTGTTGAGCAATTATTAGTAACAAGGGCCTGAGCAGTGGGGAATCAAGAGGAATGGATTTGATGGTATGAAAGTAGAATTCATAGGACTCAATAACTAAATGTGGATTGGAAAGTGAACAAACAAGAGTTGAAGATGACTGAGATTCCAGCCACTGTGGTCAAGAGGATGGCATGTCATCAGTAGCATGGGGAACATAGTCCTGGGTCAAGATGAGATGCCAGCAGGACAATCATGTGGCATAGCTGGCTAATATTGAGAAAATTTCAGGGCTAGAACTCAGAAAAGATGTAGAGCTGGAGCTAAATACTAGATGCACCATCACAGAGTGGCTACTGAAGATTGCATAGAACAATTGAATGTTACTGCTGTGTTGTTTACTAACTTTGTGACCATTCATAGGTTGCTTAATGTTTTGAGGTAATATATATGAAGAGCCCAGTGCTTTGATGGTAGACATAAATGCTAGTTTCTCTTCTCTGTTTGGTGGCAGCTGAGTCATTAAGGAAACATTGTAGAGAGAAAAGAGAGCCTGGGCAAACATCTACATTCAGAATAGGAGAAAAGGAGATAGAAGATATCGTCAGAGTTAGATACAAACCAAGAGAAGTTATGGGACAAGAATTTCAAGAAGTGATAACAGATGTAAGGAGGCCAGAAAAACAATCATTTTAGTTGCATGATAACATTGAAAGACAGACCAGGACGGTATTTTAAAAATTAGCAAAACTGAAGCAGTGATAACTATGATTTCAGAGACTAAAATGAGTATTGCTTCAAGTATTTAGAAGACAAGGTTTAATAGAGTAAACTTTAAATGGTGATGGGAGTTGGGTAGAGAGGCTAGGTATAGTAAAAATGAAGAAGAAATAGCCTTGGTTTTTACTGAGTTAAGGAAGCCATTTGTTAAATAATGATAAAATAGTCTATAGTTGAATTAGATTATGGAAGCACTATAGAGATCTTGAAAATCAGGAAAGAAAACTAGATTTGGGCCTTTTCTTAAGCATGTATACTACTGATTTTCAAGTGAGAATTTCTAAGTCCAGTCCTTATAGTTTGTAACCAAAAAGAGTTCCAAATATGTATATAGTTATTACTTTACCCATGATTATATGTTAGATTTAATTAAATCTGTATAATAAATTAGCCCCCCCCCTTTTTTTTTCTTTTAGGTCAACTTTCTTTCTATGATGCAAGCTCAAAACAGTTGTTGTATTCCTTTAAGACAAAATTTACTCAGCCAGTACTACCTGGTTTCATGGTTAGTACCAAATTTATATTTTATTTGGTTTGACAAATTTATTGAGAACAATCTATTCTATATATTTGGGGAAGCCAAATATCTTATTTTTCCTTCATATTCTTTCCTCTTTCCCTAATCTACCTCTTCCAAATCTGTGATTGTGGGTATATTTTTGGCGTGTTTTATTGAAGTAAATATTATTACATGAAAGTATGCAAACCATAAGAATGCAGTTTGATGAATCTTCATATACTGCACACATTTTTGTAATCAGTATCTAGATCAAGAAGTGGAACCTTAATGGGGCGCCTGGGTGGCTCAGTCAATTAAGTGTCCAACTTTGGTTCAGGTCACGATCTCACGGCTTGTGAGTTCGAGCCCCGTGTCGAGCTCTGTGCTGATGGCTCAGAGCCTGGAGCCTGCTTCAGATTCTGTGTCATCTTCTCTCTCGGCCCCTAACACTGCTCATGCTGTCTCTCTCTGTTAAAAAAAAAAAATAAACATTTAAAAAAAAGGAAAAGAAGTGGAACATTAACAGAGCCTCCTGTGCCTTCTTGTGCCCATTTCTAGCCTCTACTGGCCTGCCTGCAAAGTGGTTACCATCTTGAGTTTTAATACCATAAATTAATTTTGCCTCCTTTTCACCTTTGTATACAATATCTTTTTGGTTTAGCATTATGTTTGTGAGATTTATCCATGTTCTTCTATGTGGTGGTAGTTTACTCATCTCATATAGTTTTACTTTATATTTGTATGTATAGTTTCCCATTATATGACTATTTCATCATTTATATATCCATTCTAATTTAGTTGGATTCTTGTGTGGTTTCTCCTTGGGGACATTTACAGATGGAATAGTTATGAATATTCTTGTTCATGCCTTTTGGTAAATGTATGTTTCTGTTGGGTATATAACTAAGATTGGAGTTGCTAGATAGTATAATGTGTGTGTAATCAACTCTAGCAGGGTTTTTCAAAGTTGATGGTTATACTAATTTATTGCTAGCAATATATCTTTATCAACACTTGGTAGTATCTTTTTTAAGTTTTAGTTCTTCTAATGGGTAAGATATATTGAATTGTGGTTTTTCATTTGCACTACCTTGATGACTAGTGCTGTCGAACACTTTTTTTAATCTTTATTATTTAGATACACTCTTTTGTGAAATGGTTGCTCAAGTCTTTTGCCTGTATTTCTATTGAGTCCTCTTCCTATGTCTTATTGATCAATTTGGAGTTCTTTAAATAACCTGAGTCTTTTATTTTTTTTTATTATATGAAATTTATTGTCAAATTAGTTTCCATACAACACCCAGTCATCATCCCAAAAGATGCCCTCTTCAATGCCCATCACTTACCCTCCCCTCCCTCCCACCCCCCATCAACCCTCAGTTTGTTCTCAGTTTTTAAGAGTCTCTTATGCTTTGGCTGTCTCTCCCACTCTAACTTATTTTTTTTTCTTTTTTTTTCCTTCCCCTCCCCCATGGATTTCTGTTAGGTTTCTAGCCTGAGTCTTTTGCCAGATATATGTATTGCAAATTTCTTTTCCACTCTGGCTTTCCTTTTCCCTCTCTTGGTATCTTTTCATGAAAAAGGTTGTTAATTTTAATTTTGCTCTGTTTATCAATTTAAAAATGTATGGTTAGCACTTTTTTCTTTAAGAAATCTTTTTGCACCTCCAAGGTCATGAAAATATTCTTGTTTTCTTCTAAAAGCTTTTCTTTGTACCTTTAGATACAGACTGCATTTACAATGCAAGTACAATGTAGAATTGCTATGTTTGGTATGAGGTTGGGGTCAACTTAAATGTAAGGAATTCCTAAATTCCTTATGGCTATCTACTTATTCCATGACCATTTATTGAGAAGACCATCTTTTTTTCTGTTGTAGTGGAGTGTCATCTTTGTAAAATATTAGATTAACAGTCTGTGTGTGGTAGGCAGAATATATGTGTCTGTATACACATAGATGATACCAGGACTACTCAATTTCAGGTTGATTTATTTTATTTTTTTACTTTTACTTAAATCCCACTTAACATAACAAACAATAATGGTTTCAGGAGTAGAATTTAATGATCCAACACTTACATGTAACACCCAGTGCTCATCCTAACATGTGCCCTCCTTGATGCCCATCACCCATTTAGTCCATCCCCCCACCCAACACCCCTCCAGCAACCCTCAGTTTGTTCTTTGTAGTTAAGAGTCTCTTATGGTTTACCTCCCACTCTCTTTTTCATCTTATTTTTCTGTCCCTTCCCCTATGTTCATCTGGTTTATTTCTTAATTCCACATATGAGTGATGAAATATTGTATTTGTCTTTCTCTGACTGACTTATTTTGCTTAGCATAATACATTCTACTTCAATCTATGTTGTTGCAAATGGCAAATTTGATTCTTTTTGATCGTCAAGTAATATATCATTTTATATGTAAATACCACATCTTCTTTTTTTTTTTAATATATGAATTTATTGTCAAATTGGTTTCCATACAACACCCAGTGCTCATCCCAAAAGATGCCTTCTTCAATGCCCATCACTTACCCTCCCCTCCCTCCCACCCCCCGTCAAACCTCAGTTTGTTCTCAGTTTTTAAGAGTCTCTTATGCTTTGGCTCTCTCCCACTCTAACCTCTTTTTTTTTTTTTTTTCCTTCCCCTCCCCCATGGGTTTCTGTTAAGTTTCTCAGGATCCACATAAGAGTGAAAACATATGGTATCTGTCTTTCTCTGTATGGCTTATTTCACTTAGCATCACACTCTCCAATTCCATCCACCTTGCTACAAAGGGCCATATTTCATTCTTTCTCATTGCCACGTAGTACTCCATTGTGTATATAAACCACATCTTCTTTATCCATTAGTCAGTTGATGGACATTTGGGCTCTTTCCATAATTTGGCTATTGTCAATAGTGCTGCTATAAACATTGGGGAGCATGTGCCCCTTTGAATCATCATTTTTGTATCCTTTGGGTAAATACCTAGTAGTGCAATTGCTGTGTCATAGGTGGTTCTATTTTTAATTTTTGAGGAACCTCCATACTGTTTTCCAGAGTGGCTGCCCCAGTTTGCATTCCCACCAGCAGTGCAAAAGTGTTCCACCTTTCTCTGCATCCTCACCAACATTGTGTTGTTTCTTGAATTGCTAATGTTAGCCATTCTGACAGGTGTGAGGTCATATCTCATTGTGGTTTTGATTTGTATTTCCCTCACGATGAGTAATGTTGAGCATTTTTTCATGTGTCGGTTGGCCATCTGGATGTCTTCTTTGGAGAAGTGTCTATTCATGTCTTTGTCCATTTCTTCACTGGGTTATTTGTTTTTTTGGTGTTGAGTTTGATAAGTTTTTTAGAGATTTTGGATACTAACCCTTTATCTGATATGTCATTTGTATATATCTTTTCTCATTCTGTCAGTTGCCGTTTAGTTTTGGTGATTGTTTCTTTCACTGTGCAGAAGCTTTTTATCTTGATGAGGTCCCAGTAGTTCATTTTTGAACTGAGTCTTTTGCCAGATATATGCATTGCAAACGTCTTTTCCACCCTGGCTTTCCTTTTCCTTCTCTTGGTAGTTCATTTTTGCTTTTGTGTCCCTTGCCTCCGGAGACATATCAAGTAAGAAGTTGCCGCGGCCAAGGTCAAAAAGGTTGTTGCCGGTTTTCTGCTCTAGGATTTTAACGGTTTCCTGTCTTACATTTAGGTCTTTCATCCATTTTGAGTTTATTTTTGTGTATGGTGTAAGAAAGTGGTCCAGGTTCATTCTTCTGTATGTTGCTGTCCAGTTTTCCAACACCTTTTGTTGAAGAGACTGTCTTTATTCCATTGGATATCTTTCCTGCTTTGTCAAAGATTAGTTGGCCATACATTTATGGATCCATTTCTGGGTTCTCTCTTCTGTTCCATTGATCTATGTGTCTGTTTTTGTGCCAGTACCATACTATCTTGATGATTACAGCTTTGGAATATAGCTTGAAATCCAGAATTGTGATGCCTCCCACTTTGGTTTTCTTTTTCAGGATTGCTTTGACTATTCGGGGTCCTTTCTGGTTCCACACAAATTTTAGGGTTGTTTGTTCTAGCTCTGTGAAGAATGCTGGTGTTATTGTATTGAATGTGTAATATTGGTGTTTTAACAATATTTGTTCTTCCAGTCCACAAGCATGAAATACTTTTCCATTTCTTTGTGTTTTCTTCAGTTTCTTTTATAAGCTTTCTATAGTTTCTAGTGTACAGATCTTTTACATCTTTGGTTAGGTTTATTCCTAGGTATTTTATGGTTTTCAGGGCATTTGTAAATGGAATCGATTCCTTGATTTCTCCTGCTGCTTCATTATTGGTGTAAAGAAATGTATGGTGATATTATATTCTGCGGCTTTGCTGAATTCATGTATCATTTCTAGCAGTTTTTTGGTGAATCTTTTGGGTTTTCCACATAGAGTATCATGTCAGTGAAGAATGAAAGTTTGACTTTTTCCTTCCCAATTTGGGTGCCTTTTATTTCTCTTTGTTTGATCGCTGAGGCTAGAACTTCCAACACTGTTGAAAAACAGTGGTGACAGTGGACATCCCTGTTGTGTTCCTGACCTTTGGAGGAAGGCTCTTAGTTTTTCCTCATTGAGGATCATGTTAGCTGTGGGTCTTTCATATATATGGCCTTTATGATCTTGAGGTATGTTCCTTCTATCCCTACTTTCTCGAGGGTTTTTATCAAGAAAGGATGCTGTATTTTGTCAAATGCCTTTTCTATATCTATTGAGGATCATGTGGTTCTTATCCTTTCTTTTATTAATGTGATGTGTCACATTAATTGTTTGCAGATATTGAACCAGCTCTGCATCTCAGGGAGAGGAATAAATCCCACTTGATCGTGGTGCATAATTCTTTTAATGTATTGTTGGATTTGGTTTGCTAGTATCTTCTTCAGAATTTTTGCATCCGTGCTCATCAGTGAGATTGGTCGATAGTTCTCCTTTTTAGTGGTGTTTTTGTTTGCATTTGGAATCAAAGTAATGCTAG